TGGCTCTCCCGCCAATGTGTCTCCCCTCGGGGTTAAGACCACACTGACGTGTAATTATTGACTTGGAAACAGATCCTTCCCACGGAACCACCAGAGCTTTGAGAGATGGGGCTATACTCTATCCAGAGAGCAGTTCGAATTGGAGCGGATAGTTGTTCCTTCCTGACACTTGCATTCAGTTTCAGTAACTGACTGAACCCCAGTCGACAAGCACACACGTGACCGACATCGCTTGGCCACTATATGAAGTTATAGAAACCATGAATATGTCAGTAAATGCAAGAGTACACTTTCTCCGTAAACAGAGCCCCTACCTTTACTTTGTGGAACACAGACGGTCCCTCACTGACAACGGTTCACCGCATGATTTTCCCCTTTACGATGGGGTAAAAACAGTTGAGCATATGTTACATGAGATTTTCAAGACCTCATGATGAAATGAGCCTGTGTTAGGTCATTTGCCCAAGGAGAGGCTCATGTTAAGTGTTCTGAGCCCTGGCCGGTTTGGCTCAGCAGTTAGAGCATCGGACTGTGGACCAGAGAGTCCTGGGTTCGGTTCCCGCTAAGGGCACGTACCTCGGTTGCAATTTGTCCCTGGCCCTGGTTGGGGTCATGTGGGTGGCAACCACTCGATGTGTCTCTCTCACCTCGATGTTTCTCTCTTCCTTCCTCCCTCTCTTCCGCTCTATCTGAGGATAAATGCAAAAATGTCCTCCAGTAAGGATAAAATAAATAAAATACATAATAATAATAATAATAATAATAATAATAATAATAAAGTGTTCTGAGAATGTTTAGGGTAGACTAGGTTATTTGTATTAAATGCTTTTTCTACTTAGGATATTTCAACTTACCATGGGTTTATGGGGATGGGACCCCAGGGAGTCCTTATAGTGTGAAGTCTACGGGTTTCAGAGGTACACACTTGTGTCTTTTTCCCTATAAAGTGCCCTGTGGCAACTCTCGTTCCACAGCATATATGTCATGTGGATGTGATAGCTTAGGGAAAATAAAACCATGATAGACTTTTGTGCTGTCTTGAGTGGGAGTAGTGTGAGGTTGTATTCATTTAGATGATGTTGCAAAATGTTTTGCCCTTACAGAGTTCCAAGCATTGTTAGGAAAGAGTTCATCCAGTCTTTAATTTGATAGCATATAATTGTCAGTAATTCAGGACCACTTGATGGGATAATCCATCTTTATGTTGTATTAACTGTCTTTGAACAAAATAATAGATTTTCGGAAAAACCATGAAATTATCCTCAATTATCTTTAAACTGAAAACAAAATATCTCAAAATACAACATATTTGCCATTATAAATGATAATTATAAGTATAGATACCAACAACCAAATAGAAAATAATTTTCCCTTAATATTTGTATTTTAACACTGAAGAAAAATAACAATAAGCCTATGATAATCACAGTGCCTTCTTAGTTTCAAAGTGTTTTCAAATTTAGCCTAAAAACACTTTTTGAGCTTGTCAACCAAAATTAAATTCCAGGCTGTAATAGAAGAATAAAGCATCTGTTTGGGCAAAAGGATTGCAACCCGAGAGACGCAGAGTCAGGTAGGAACCCACCTGCGCTCTGCAGAGAACACAGAAAGCAGGTTATGAAGGGAAACCCAGGTGGGCTTCATGCAAATGAGGATGGCTGCTGGTGAGCAGGGATTGGCTAGTTCCACATGCACATGAGGATGGCTCCTGGTGAGCAGGGATTGGCTAGTTCCACATGCACATGAGGATGGCTGCTGGTGAGCAGGGATTGGCTAGTTCCACATGCACATGAGGATGGCTCCTGGTGAGCAGGGATTGGCTACTTCCTCATGCACATGAGGATGGCTGCTGGTGAGCAGGGATTGGCTAGTTCCATATGCAAATGAGGGGGCCAAAACCACAGAGGAGATCAAGTCCTCCTGTGTCCACAGGGCAGCTGTCCTGGGTGTTTGTGGCTCAGCCTGGACAGTGCCCCAGCCGGTTAGCAACTTAGCAGCAGCTCTGAGGACCCAGAACCGAGGCCCAAGATTGCACAGGTCCCGCCTCCTGGTAGCCTGAGACTCTATTTCCAGTGACCCTCTTAGGATGCTTATGCTTTTTAAATTATTTCTGTTATCAAAATTATAATATTTAAAAATTATGTGTGATCATATATTTTAGAGGAAGTCATCTGAATAAAGTCCTATTTTCACCTGAAGGAGGATTTTTTTTAATGAATCTATATAGCTACTGCCTGACTCTATATTCTAGGCCATGCCATTCATGGAGACAGGTACCATAATTTGCAATTATCTTTTTCATTGTTAGACTGTGACTGCTTTGAAGGAAAGAAACAAGTCTCATTCATTTCTCTTCCTCAAAGCTCAGCACACACAAAAACACACAACAACTCACATTAATATTTTATATTAAATTCACTTAAATGAACTCTAGTGTCTCTTCAGTCATAAGTAATGGCTGGTTGGGGTATAAATTGCCAATATGTGGTATATAAACATATTCTATGTAAATTTTTATGATCCTTTGTCAATGGCTTTCACCTATTCAGGTCATCATTTTTACTATCTATTTTAAAAATCCACTTTTATTTTAAAAATGATAAAAATGCTTATGGGATTGTACCACACAATTCAGATGGCTAAAAATCCCTACTTTTTAACCACATTTTAAATTTTTAATCATGACAGCCTCAGGTATGATGAAAATATTTTGCATATTTTTGTAATTGAAATGCGATTTTATACAAATTGTAAATATTTAAGACAGCACCGGGGAACTCTCCCACCGTGAATGAATGTAAGTGCCTACAGTACAAAGTGTTCCAGGAGTGATATCTGCAAGATCTCAAGTAGAATTTCTTTTGGCAGGAAACCGTTTGATTCAAACACCGAAGAGGGAAGCGGAGGGTCTGGATTCCTGAGCAACATTTTCAGGATGATTAATAAGTCACTTAACTTGATGTGGCTCCGATTCAAATAGAGACAAATAAGTCAAGTGGAGTATTTTTAAGGGCGCCCAGGTGTCACAGGTCACAGGTGATGGGGAGAGGAGACCTCGCTGCCTCGGCGGGTCTCAGAGCGGCGAACAGAAAGCGCAGGACCGGGACGTGCTGTAGGAAGACGAGCCTTCCGACGTATTTCCTAAGTTGAGGCCACGATCGCATAGGTCACGGGTCTCCGAGAAGAAACCTGAGGGAGGGTATTCAAGTTTCCTCCAGAGGGCGTGTGTGATCCGAACACCCACATCCATAGTCAAGGCTTTGGGTGAAGTCCCAGGTGGAGCAGAGACACCCTGGTCGTCTGCACTCAGGTTCTTCAGCCCCAAGCACAGCGTCTCAGAACAACCTGTGTGTGCGCATGCGCATGTGTGTGCGTGCGTGCACGTGTGTGTGTGCATGTGTGTGCACTATCTCTATTTTGGAGTCATTTTATTCAGCATTAAACAGCTGCTGGGGAGGAACTGGGAGAAGAGGAGGTGGAGGTCAGAGGTCATCAGCAAGCACACCCCAGGCACCCTTGTATTTCTCCTCAGTGCTCCCCGAAACGCCGCCTCTCTGTTTGGTCAACAATTGTCAGAACATCTCACATGTCAGGAAGGCAGACCCCCCCCCCCCCCCCCCGCCTAGATTGTCCCTTGTCCCTTGTCTCTCTGCACGAGTCTCACCCCAGCATCTCCTGGTCTACCCCGAGCACAGTTCGTCGGGCTCAGGACCTCGGAACGGCGGCCAGCCCGGCTCTCCTCCCCTTTCCCGAGCGAGCTGCTGTTCAGGCCGCTACTGTGGTCACTGGCGTGGTCTCCAGGGCCACGGACACGGCCCGAGGGCTGCTCTCTCAGCAACCAGCTCTACGTCACGGATGCAGAGGACCCGGACCTTTAACATGCATGAAAAGCAATTTTTCTCTTGAAAGAAAAAGTACTTCTGTTTTTTTTTGTGTGTGTGTGTGTTTTAATTATTCCTAATGAAACCGGCTTATTGGACCTTTATGTTTATCTTACACTAAAGAAGGATTTTGGAGGGAGGCTATGAATGCAGAGGCTGGGCCTCTGAGTGTGATCGATATCTACCATCATCACACGGCACAATACCAGAAAATCTAATATCTAGTGAAAGAAGAGAAAAAAAGGAAACCAATATGAGGTTCTATTTATAAATCATAATTAGCTTCCAAAGGCCAATATATTTCATTATGAATATAAATCTCAATAAGACAAAACTATGAAAATTTCATGACTTCAAAGCCTTCAGTTAAAAATTAAAATGCCATCTTGGGAAATCTGATTTTTATGCATATGACACAAAATACAAAAAAAAAGGTATAAAATATTGAAATCAGCTTTAACAAGCCCTAGATTTAAAAGACCAAAAGAAAATGAAATACAAGCATATGGATCAAGGAAGGAGTTTTTCTAAAATAAGAAAATTAGTATTAGTAATTAATTTTTTAAAATATGTTTTCATTTATTTTTTTAGACAGAGAGGAAGGGAGAGATAGAAACTTCCAGGTGAGAGAGAAACATCAACTGGTTGCGTCCTGCACGCCCCCTACTGGGGGATGGAGCCCACAACCCAGGCCTGTGCTCTGATCAGGAATCCAACCGGGACTTCTCAGTCCATGGGATGAGGCTCAATCCACTGAGCCACACTGTCCGGGCAGTAATTAATTTTTTAAATTACTAAACTGTCAAAAATTATTCTGAATCTAAATTAGAGAACACATTTTTCACTTCCAAATGAAACACAAGTATTAGAACAACGCCACGCGGCATCCGGTGACGGTCCCGCCGTCCCCTGACTCCAGGCCGCGGAGCTTGGCAGGCCCGGTAGAAATGTCAGCACCGTTTGCACGGCTAGTGGAAAAGCTTAGTTTGCGCTCTTACTAACCCCCGTTCGCCTCTTCCTTACCTTCCGTCCGTCGCCAGGGCTGCAGGAGTTTTCAGAGTAGCATTAAAATAAGAACAGGTTGACTTGAGTCGGAGGAGGAAAACCGCCATCTCTTACCCTGGCACAGCGGAGGGAGAGAATCCCACTGGTACATGCCCGCGGGGCTCCGTGCACAGGTGGCGTTGCTGTGGCCGATCAGTCGGTATCCGGGCTGGCAGAAGTAGTGCACGGTGCTGCCCAGGGTCCCTGCGGTCCTATTCAAGATGCCACCGTTCCTCAGGGTCTGGGTCAAGCTGCAGTAAGAGGCTGGAGGCACATAAACGCACACATGAGCACACGACAGAGCAGTCGTAAATGACCAGTGACTTTCCAGGTGACAGAGATGTCAATGGCACGGCTCCGTGGTTCCCACAGCGAGACGTCTGCATGTAACCTTGCTCTAAAATGTATCCAGACACCCCACGCCAGAGGACGGAGCGGCAGGAACCACACACAGCGCTGGCGGAGATGTAGGGGGGCGGCTACCCTGGAGGACAGGTCAGTGGTTCCTAACAAAACTAAACCTACTCTTACCCTACGGCCCATTAACCGTGCTCCTTGGTGTTTACCCAAAGGCGGTGGAAACTCCTGTCCACACAACCTGCACACGGATGCTTTCAGCAGCTTCAGTCGTCACGGCCACACCTTGGGGACAACCAAGACGCCCTTCGGCGGGTGATGGACAAGCTGCGCTCCATCCTCACAATGGGACGTCATCAGCACTAGGAGGACACGGCCTCTCAAACCAGGAAAGGTCGTGGAGGAACCTGGAGTGCGTGTGGCTAAGTGACGGGAGCCAGGCTGGAAGGCTGCACACTGACTCCATCTCCGGGACACCCTGGGGAAGACAGAGCCCGGGGGACAGGGACGGACGGATGGTGGTTGCCAGGGCTGGGTCGGGGGAGGGGGGAGCAGAGGAGCAGAGAGCAGTCTTGGGGCAGTGAACCTACTCTGTGCGACACTGTCGTGATGGACACATGTCATCACACATTTGTGGGAAATCTCTGTGTTTTTCAGTCTGTCTGAGAATTTTAAACTTCTCTGAAAAAAAAAAAAAGTGTAATAAAGGACAAAAAATCTACAGGCAGGTGTCCAGTCTCTTAGTTTTAAGTTTAGATGACCTGCAACTCTTAATCCGTGTGAAGGTAGAACCTTGACTTTCTGATTCAGACATGGCAAAGGAACACAGGAAGGGTCACATGAGACCCCAGCCCTCGCCCCGAGGCCGGCCACCCACTTAAATAAGCGTATTAATCATCGGAATGAGAAACGGTATGATACTGCTTTGGGCTCCATATTTGAAACAAAATAATTCTCAACACTGAAAAAATAGAAAAGAATCAATACTATGGAGAAAATGGAGCAATGTAACATTTCACAATCAATGCCATTGTCTTCCTTGCCGGCGTTGCTGAGGGGTCTCGTGAACTGTACAGTGCAGACATTAAGCCTGTGACAGACGGGATTTGAACAAAGCTGAAAACAGTGCACTGTGTCAGGTCAACACAAATCTCACCGTGGCTTTAATCATCCCCTTTGCAGGGAGACGTTTTTCAAAATTTGAGACAGGAAAGTGCTAAAATAAGAGGCTTACACAGAATACAACGTTTCAACGGCTAGAGGCTCTGCATCAAATTTACCCATTTAGAGAAGGGGACTTTTTATTCCTACAAGACCAGTTTCATTCCTGCTTAAAATCCCACTTATTCCCTTCAGGTGAACTGAGACAGTGACATTGAGAAGGAGAGTATTGGGGTCCCGGGTCTCCTGGAAGAAGAGGCTGTGAATGCACCCTTCCCTGTGGGGGCTCCGCACGGGGCTGAACTGTCCTCGGAAGTCAGCAGCAGACGCTGTCTGCAGGCGTGCCCTCATGCCCAGGGGCCGCGGCTCGTGCCTGGCCTGGCTGTCACCCTTGTTCCTGGGAGAACACCCCAGAGAATGCTCTCAGCCGGGTGACTGCAGTTCTATTTCATTTGATAAAAGGACTGATTTGTATGAAGTTGAAATCCCCTTACCCGTGTGAGATGCCCTTGGGCCAGGCCGTTTTCGGGGGCCAGAGTTTCTAGACTAAATTTTGTCATTAGTAATGAACCAAAGTATCTGGCGTAGGAGAGGCAGGCTCAGAACCACTCGCCTTGGCTGCCACGGCCCAGAACCACTGGGCCAGCACAAGAACCACACCTGAAGGGGCAGGGAGGCCCACAGTCCTTGGGTGGCACCTGTGACCTCTGTCACGCTCCGGTCTGCCCAGAAATACGATCTGAGGATGATGACCTGTACGGAGTCCAACCCCTTCTAGTTTCTCTCCTATTCTCCAAGTCTCTTCTATCACCAGCGTCTCAAGGTTCCCGTTCTGTCCTCGCGCACCTAGGAGAAGGTGTGGGGGCTCCGAGTGGGGACAGAGCTCTGAAAGGAAGGGGAAGATGAGAGCGGGGTCCTGCCTGCGGGGTTCCTGGCTGCGTCAAGAAGTACGCCCAGCGCCCCATCTCGCCACCGGCTGTCGGGAATGTCACACCTGTCCGAAGGCAGAACACGGGCGGGCTGCCTCCCGGAAACCCCGTCCCCTACCCTGGCGTCCCCCTCTCCCCACACTGCTGGGACACAGGTGCCCTCTACTGCGGAGGGGACACCGCCTACTGGGCGTCCGCACAGCACGTAACCTCCACGCGGCGCTGGCTTCACCGTCTTTATGTTTGTTTTTCAGGGATGCTGATCAGTCACAGCGCTCTGACGCCGCATGGCCACCCGTTCCAAGTGCAGGGGACAGAGGTTTGCGGGGCGGCGTGGGCTCCCTGAAGGGGTCAAGCCCTGCACGCGAGGTTATATTTCAGGCGCATCTTCGTTTACTCCCCGCCCTAAAGTCGCTGACGGTGAGCTCCTGGCAGAGGCCGTGCAGTCGCTGGATTTTAAGGGAACAGGTGGTCAAAGGTGTGTCTACGTATCTACGGATAGACATGTTTGTCCACTGAGGGAACACACACGTTCGTGGCCTTTCCCGAACGTTCCACTTCCCTGCTCTCCCAGCTCAGTTCAACGAGCACCTGCTCGCGGGTGATCGAGAAGGTCCTTGAGAGAAAGGACTCGGGGTGCAACCCTGTCACCAGGCTACTGATGAACAAGACACACCGTGTCCACCGGGTTCACCCACACCGCCCGCTTCTGCACTTCGGAAGGAAACCCAGCAATTCTGAAGGTTTGGAAACGAGGCATTTGATGACTGCAAATCCTGCCACCGCCCGAGCCCTCTTCGCCACTCGCTCTAATAAGAGTCAATTTCAGCTGTGAGCTCCGTGCGGCTTTTTAAATGGCAGCATGGGGGGCGGGGGGAGCAAAGGCCTGTGTCTGTTTTATTAAACTTGACGGAGGAAGAACATGAATCCCGCACCTACTGTCTTCACGTCACCATTTCATGGTGCGTGCCGGCTGGAGAGAGCCGGGATCTTTGCTGAAAGCACTGTGACTTTCTCCTGTTTCTCCCTCAAAACGTGGTCATCGTGGATGCGATAAAACGCCAGAGCAAGGCTGAGCCGTCCTCCAAAACATACACTGTTCAATGAGTGTGTGCTGTGGGCAGCTCTTCGGGGAGATGCACCTCTATTTTACCACTGGCTGTTGCTGAGTTCCAGGATCTTGAGAAAAGTTTAGATTTTTTTTTTTTGCTTCGAAATTAAAAAGTATCAGAAATATACTTGTCTGCCCACTGCTTTTGCAGTACGAACATTAGGGGGGGTCAGATAAAACCGACACATGCACACAGGATCTAATACAGCGCATGCCACAGACAGATGGCGTCTGTACACTGTCTAAAGAGACATACAGAGGCATAGGCAATAAAAAGTCACTATGAATAATGATTGTTATCACTTATAACAATAACAGCATTATGAGGGAATCTTCCTGTTGGTTTCCCTAGCATTTAAGCATATTTTCAATTTAATTTATATAATTTTGTCTTTGGGGAAATGTCTTTGCTTTCTGTGATATGCAAGTCTGTGGTGTATGAGGTGAGCAGTATATTTGTAAATTATTAATCAACACAGTTCATTTTTCCTAAATTCAGTTAGAGGTATCACTCAGTGAACTCCCCATCATATTGTTTCTATTGAAGTTTATTATTCATCTTAGAAAATGAGGCTCATACTATCTAATTGTTGAATTGAATGTGATCCTTTGTGTTCAAAGCACTTTTATGTTCAAAGTAAATCTCGCCAACTCACCTGCATAACGGATCTTGAATCCTTTCTTACTGGTTGCGTGATCGGTGGACCAGCGGAGGAATAACTGGTTGCTCCTGCTCGTGAAATTCAGTTGCTCCGTGTGGTTCCCACTCAGGACCACCAACAGAGGGCTCTGACCGGAAGAACCTGCGTGGATCGGAGAAACAACCGCCTTTAGGTGGCACCTACGCGAGGTGCACTACCTTTAGCTTTCTATTAAACTGGCGTCTAGATGTACAACATACAGCTATTTATGTCCAAGGTGGAGAAGAACATTCCTAGTGAGTGTAGCACAGATGTGTCCCTGACCACAATGAACTGATGGTCCACCAGAACAACTGCAGGTGTGCCGGCTGTTGACCACATAACACCTGACTCAGGAGCCTCAGGGATAAAACAGCAGTCACTGAAGACACCAAGAAACAGCCCCCTTAGCATCACATCCTGTGTGGCTGAGGAGAAAGGACACGCCCATGATATCCTGGGGGGCCCACCCCTGAGAACACTCGTCTGGGACAGCGGTTTGGTAACATCTGGCAAAAGTGAAGTTTTATTTCTATTCCTACAAACCACAGCCCGTGAGCAAAGTTGCTCTTTATGTCACGAAAGGTGTTTCCCAGCCTCTTATTTACAGCGGCGTTGAGACCTGGACGAGCTGTTCGGAGGTTTGGAGAGGAAGGCAAAGTGCCGGGAAGGAATTCCGTGCAGCACGTACCTGAGCCAGGAGAGCAGCCCGGCCCAGCCCGGGTCACTCTTCAAGCAGAGAACAACTGAAATCCGTGTGCACAGAAGTGTAGGACAGCCCGTGTGCACACATCCCACCGTGTGCCGTGCCTGTGTGTGCCGTGCGTGCGCATCGGGGTGATGGTGCGAGACAGGAGAGGGAGGGCGGGAGCCAAGTGGGGTGTACAAACAGGACAGCCCGTCTCACCAGGTCCCACCCACCACACTGCCCTCTCCGGCAGGTGCAGGCCGGGAGACGGGGCCGCCCCAGCTCTCTGTACTCCTGCTCCTTAAACAATGAAACGAGGCCAATTTAATAAAACCCTAAAATTCATTCCATCTAGTACTGAGACCATATCTATGTATTTAGAAAAATTTTTTTCTTTTTACTTTCCATATATTTAAAATTCTTCAAATTCGATATGTAGCTCATGGAAACAAACGGAGCGTATGGTCCACCCTTGTGACACTCATCGCCATGGAAACGTGGTGTTATTTCCGGAGGGCAAGGGGCAGCGGCGGGGTCACAGTGGCACCGCCTGGGCATCGGCCCGCCAGTGAACTGGCACCGCTCACGGTCTGAAGGCCCCACTGCTCTTCAGCACGCATCTCACGCCCGGAAACATGTCACGGGAGGGGGATGGGTGCCGCCAGGCTAAGGGACTGGTTCTCTGAGAGCGGCGCGGGACTGCTCCCCCTGCAGCGAGGCCGAGGGACACGGCCTCGTCCACGGCACCTGCTAGCCGGAGCGGCTCTAATGCGCCCAGATGCAGCTGCCAGGGGCTGACGTCTCCTCGCCCCACCGACAGTACGCGGAATGACTGTGTTGGGACGTTGGGTCTTTAAAGCATAATTAAGGTGGCCCTGGCCAGGTGGCGCAGTTGGTTAGTGCATTGTCCTGATACCCATAGGTGGTGGGTTCAATCCCAAGTCAGGGCTCATTCAAGAATCAATCAATGTGTAAGTAATTGGAGCAACAAACTGACGTCTCTCTGTCTCTGCCCGTCTCTCTCTCCCGTCCTCTCTCTCTGTCTTAAAATAACCATTAGAAAGATAATTAAGGTTAAGCGAGGTCATTAGGGTGGGACCTAATTCCACATGACCGGTGGTGCCCTTACAAGAAGAGGAACTCGGGACGCAGACACACGCAGAGGGGCGACCACGCGAAGACACGGGGAGCAGACGGCTTCCGAACCCCGAGGAGAGGGGCCGCGGGGGAACCAGCCCCCCGACACTGGATCGCCGCTCATTCAGAACAGTGAGGAATGGAGGTCAGAGCAGCCCGTGCGCAGACAGCCGCCGAGGCCGTGCACATGGCTGGGCAGTGCTCCCTGCGGTCAGCGCGGAGGACGGAGAAGGGGAAGCCCGGGAGGGCGGTCACTGGACCACTGTCCTGGAGAAGGACGACCGTGTTTTATAGCCGAGGACACAGCAGCGTGGTTCGCGCGCGGCTTTTCGCGCAATGGCTGCCTACGAGATAACGTATGCTCTAAAGCACAACGCCCCCGGAGATCCCTGAACCTGAACTTACAAAATGGAAAATGTCACTGTAAATGGCAGGACTCGAGAGTCAAGTTTCAGGTAGTAGCGAACTCACTCCCAGCTCTTCCTGCTTGCCCTCCATTCCCTGCGCCGGCTTGGACGCACCCCTGCAGCCAAGCACACGCGCTCGGGCCCCACACACACACGGCTGCCGACCAGGGGGGACTAGCAGGGACTTGACACACGAAACCAGCCTTCGTTTTGACCCCTTCCTTAACCAGGTTCTACAATGAACAACATTTATTTTTTAATTGAGAAATATCTACTACAGGAGCTGTAGAGACTAATGTACTCCTGGGCTAATAAAGTTTAAAGTCAATAGATTCAACATGTTTTTTTTTTTTTGGTCCACTCGTGAGCTATAAAAAGGGCCACAGTCTTAAAAAATACAAAGAAAAGAGGGAGATACGATGAACATGACATTTACTGAAACAAAAATGCCAAAGCTTAAACCGGTGTTCACATAAAACCCTGACCTTTCATTTCATAGAGAAAACTTGAGACTAGAACAAACCCGCTCATAAAACTCTGCTCACTCTGACAGCAACTGCTGTGACTTTGTCTCTGTCTCCTGCACTGGGGGCTTACAAAGGGGGGATGACCTGTCCTTATTTTGGGAGATCAAATTGTGAGAATTTAGGGCATAAATGATCGCTAATGATTTTCCTCCTGATGTTACACAATGTAGAAGACAGACGGCCGAATTCTAGCTCAACTAAAGCAAAACAAAGAAACAGTCAGAAATTTAAAATAATTATTAAATATATTTCATTACATATAGCATTATAGAAATACATATGCACACACAGACACATGTGCACAGCACATGGACACACATGCCCAACACATACATGCACATGTATGCGCACACACAAAGTATACTCTCACACAGGCATATACAACATACACATGTGTGCACACACAACCCATGTGCACACACATGGACACACATAGTCACACAACATGCACACACAGGCACTCACCCTGAGGTTGGCTGCTAGACTGTTTTTTTGTTGTTGTTGTTGTTGTTTTTTTATCCTCACCCGAGGACATTTTTTGATATTTTGTTCAAATAGAGTAGGAGGGAGAGAGAGAGAGAAACATTGATGTGAAAGGGACACATCGAGTGGTTGCCACCTGTACGACCCAACCAGGGCCGGGGACAAACTGCAACCGAGGTACATGCCCTTAGCGGGAACCGAACCCGGGTCTCTCCGGACCGCAGGCCGACGCTCTAACCGCTGAGCCAAACCAGCCAGGGCTTGTTGTTTTTTTAATCCTTACCCGAAGACTTTTTTTTTTTTTTTGCATTTATCCTCAGAGCAGGAAGGAGAGAGGGAGAGAGAGAAACATCGATGTGAGCGAGACACATCGAGTGGCTGCCTCCAGCACGACCCAACCTGAGCCAGAGACAAACTGCAAGGAAGGTACGTGGCCTTAGTGAGAACTGAACCCGGGACTCTCTGGTCTGGGGCCGGCGCTCTAACCACTGAGCTAACCTGTCAGGGCTTGCCTGTTTTGTTTTGTTTTTTTCTGACTCCTAATTGGCTTCAATCATTTACCTGACTCCTCATTGAAATAAGAAGCCTGTTTTTACACTTGGCTGACTAATTACTTCTCTTCATCCTGTAGACTCAGGGAAAAGTCTTCAGTGGTATGTGTTCCACCGTACAGCTGCCCCCTATCTGTGGGGTACACGTGACAAGACCCCCGAGGACACCTGAAACTGTGGGTAGTACTGAACCCCGTGCGTTCGATGCCACCTCCCCACTTAAGGACACGTCTGGCTTCTCGTCGGCCTATCCGGACGCAGGCATCACTGCCCTTCCGGCTGTGACTGGGTAACGAGGGGACTGGAACATCGGCCCTGAGGTGCCAGGGCAGGTGGCCCCGCCAACTGCTGTGTGACTCACGGGGCGGGGCGGGCATCCCACACGGAGGCCCTGGACAGAGGGACGATCGGTCCCGGGTGGACTGCGTGGGGCTGCGAGAGATTCCAGCACACTCCTCAGATGCAGGGCAATTTAAACCTAATACACTGTTTGTTTCCAGAACTTTTCGTTTACTATTTTTGGACGATGGTCAACTGTGGGTGATGGGAAAGGTGGATAAGGGGGCTACTGTGTATGTAAAAAACAAAAGCTCTGAAAACACTGTTTCGTATCCTCTGATTCTACATGTGCACACGTGAAGCTGACGCCCAGACCAGCGGTTCATCTTTGGAAATAACAGAAGGTCTCCAGGGTGGATCCGTGTCAGCAGTGTGCTGGCGCCGGTCACCAGGCAGGACGGCCAGCGGGCACACACCGAACCGAGTCCAGGGCAGGTTTGCTCCCTGAATCGGCTGCCCTTTGTCTGCACGCAACGACAGACTTGTCAGAACATGGGAAACCCTGCTATTTTATGCAGCCGTGATTGTATGTTGGTCTAGTTTTCTGGGGGATGATAAAGAAAAATATTAACATCGGTTTCATTTCAAATTGGCAATTCAAGCACACTTTATTTGAAGCACTGCATTCCTATATGAAAAAGTGTGTTAGCGCCCTGGCCAGGGTGGCTCAGTTGGTTGAAGCGTCGTCCTATACAACAAAGGGTCTTGTGTTCGAGTCCTGGTCATGGTACGTACCCAGGTTGCGGGTTTGATCACCAGACTGGGCGCATACAGGAGACAACCAGTCCATGCCTCTCACGTCGATGTTTCTCTCTCTCTCTACCTCCTTCCTCTCTCTCTAGAGTCAATGGAAAATGTATCCTCGGGTGAGGATTTAAAAACAGTTTATTAGAATTGCATAAAAATTTTTAAGACTAATTTCTGAGATCATCCACTCTAAGTCCCCATGCTGTACAATGAAGGATGGTGACGGCACAGTGAGCACTTTGCAGAGAGTAAGAAAGTATCTCGCGTGTTCTACTGACAAACCTCAGGGGAGGGGGAAGGGCGGGAAGCGATTAACCAATGACGGATCTGCGTATGTGCACAACCCCTGGACACGGACCATGGTGTGGAAGGCCTGGGCGGGGGCGGGGGCGGGAGCAGGGTGTCAATGTGGGAAAAAGAAGGGACAACGGTGATACTTTCAGCAATAAAGACCCATTTTTTTTTAAAAAAAAGATAACTTAAAAATAATAACAAGTAGATAAACGTTGCAACACTAACAAAACGACGATGTTCAGAGAGCACTGGATTTCTGAAACGGCCCAGTGCAAGAGGTGTTCGGTAGCTCGCGTGTGGCAGAAGCACTGTTAAGGGCGTTTTCGCCACCTCACGCAGGGGTCACCGGCATGAGAACCAAGGCGAAGCGCACTCACCGTCGAATACCTCCAGGGCGTCGAACTGCCTCTCGCTCTGGAAGGTGTCCACAAAGACCGTGATGTTGTGGGTCGGCTCCACTCGGACGCTCCAGGAGCAGGTCTGCGAGTTGAAGTAGTTGCCAGGGTAACCCGGGCTGAGGATGACCCCCGAGGACTCTGTGCGGACTTCGTGGGCTGGGCATTGTGCTAGTGAGAAAAGTCAAAGCTGTCCTTAATAAAGCGAACGTCTCCTGGCATCTGTGGGATGGTGCCGACCCCTGTAGGCAGGGGCCAAGGGAAGGAAAAGGCACTCCTGCTAGCTGATTGAACTTGATGCGGGTGCAGACTCAGAGACCTACACTGAGTAATGATGAGTAACATTGTAACAGGGCCCTGGAATTTAGAAGAGAAGTATTCACATACACTACAGGAGGATTATACATGTATAAAATATATGTTGACAGCCAGGGTGATTATATAGATGGCTTAGGTAGATGGAACCCAGATGGGTGATAGATAAATAGATGCCAGATGATAGATAGATAGATAGATAGATATAGATAGACAAATAGATGATAGATAGATGCTAGATTTAGATGATAGGTAGATGATTGATAAATGATAGATGCTAGATAGACAGATGATAGATAGATATAGATAGATGGATAGATAGATAGATAGAAAGATAGATAGACAAATAGATGATAGATGCTAGATATAGATGATGGATAGATGATTGATAATGATAGATGCTAGATGGATAGCTAGATGATTGATGATAGATAGATAGATAGATAGATAGATAGATAGATAGATGGATGCTAGGTAGATAGGTAGATACAAAGATCCTATTTAACTCTAGGATCAAGGAAACCAAGTCATCAACCCAATCCCAGGGCAGCCAAGACTGAAGAAGTTGCCAGACTGAGCGGAAATACTGACCCCACAGGTTCTCTCCACCTGGGCGAGGAGGTGGATCACGACTCGTCCCACTGACCTGCCCTCTGGGAGTGAAGCGGACTGATCCGGCCTGAGCGTGTCCACCGCTCCCCATCACGAACTGCACTGCCCACACACCGAACTTAGGGCCGTGCTCTGGGGGTTCCGCCACAGCGTCCCCCGCTTCCCCAACTCAGTGAAAAGTGGGACTCCACCTGTTCAATGTAACACCACTAAACCATGTGGGATTTTGTGCGATAATAGAAAGTTAGTATTCATCTCTGCCTTGGATCATATTTCCACTGCACTTATAATAGTACATTTTAAACATGACGAGATGCTTGCGCCACGGTGAGAGGCCGGGGCTCGGAGCTCCACGGGACCCTGGCCGGTGTGTGACGTAGGAGCAAGGACACCTAGCAGATAACTGATGGTGACGAATCACTACGTGTGGACAAGTGGACACGCTCTGCCCTCTGCTTTCTCTTCTCCCTTTACCCAACCCCGCCCAGGTTAATCGGAACAAAACTAACCTCACAGGTGAGAACCCACAGGAGGAACCAGCAGACCCCTCAGTGCGCACTTTCTCCCATGGCTCAATGGCATTATCTTCCAGAAATAGTTCGCTGATAGAACTATTAAGGGAAGATTATTCCTATCATTGCTCACACATAAACAGAGATGTTTAAAAAGTCAAGGGATCAGATCAGCTATCCATAATGAAAAATGTCCTCTCCCTTAGAACAGTAAATGAATACTCATTTCAAAATAGACGTTTCCCAACCAGGTGAACAAATCTTATGTAATGTGTTTTGAGTTAAGTAATTATCTGTTTAAAAAGTACTTTTCCCTCTTTTCTTTCGCCTTCGTACTCTCCTTGAGATGTATCTTAAAACTTACAAAATGTTTAGGTGTAAGACCACCAAAAATAACATTTCATAAAACTCTTTTAAAAAAATGTATTTTAAGTCAATTGTAAGACTATTTACAATGTTAATCAGTGGCAAGTAATATAAAAAATAACCCAAACCAAAACACGCAGAGGAAAACATCTTAGTGTAAAAAGTCTTTTCTTCTGTGACAGTGGCGAAAGGTCACTCTGTCATTTCAAACACGAGCATGTGAATGTCTCTTAAAAGAACACGACATAATACGTCAGAGCTTACGTCCTGCATCTGCCAGGACCTGCCTGGACCAGGTGGCCAGAGCCCAAGGGCAGAGCCAGCCCAGTGTGCCCTCAGGCCGTGGTCGGATCAAGCAGGTGCCCTTGGCTCCCTTCCACCTGGGCTTTGCGTGGCCAGTGCCCGCGACGCCGGCTGAGCCTGCCTCCCTGACCTCAGGAGGCTGCCTGGGCACGTTTCATTTGGGGTGAGAGCCACGGGGATCCTGGGCCTGCAGCTCTGCTTATGAGGTGCCCAGGGCGTCACACCTTCTGGGAACAGCCCCGTCCCTGAGCTGGTGCCACCCGCCTGGGCAGCCGCAGGGCGCTCCGGGGCGGAGGCACAGGGTGTCGTCAGGGGAGATCCTGGCTCTGGAGGGCCTGTCTCTGCTCCTCAGAGAGGCCTGAAGTGGACTCGTGTCCCATGTCTTCCGTCTCTTTCCACCTGCTCATGCGAAGGCCTCCTGTCTGTGCCCCGGGGGCTCTGACCCACCGCCCTCAGCTGCTCCCCACTCCTTGCTCCTTCCTGTCGCTGTCACCACCACCGGGTTTCCAAGACGTCGTGTTTCTCGGGGACACTCAGGCCTCCCACCAGGAGCTCTGTGTGGGGCTCCTGTCAGGGACGCCCCAGGAACCCGCCGCTCCCAGCACCCACTGGGGCTCTGAGCCCACACGCCACACCGGGTCGTCCGCAGCAGGGGCCGAGTCAAGCACTGGATTTAAAATGGTGACGACTGACCCCTAAAAGCACTAGAACAGTGGTTCTCAGCCTTCCCAATGCCGTGACCCTGGAACACAGCTCCTCATGCTGTCTGTGGGCGCATCTGCGTGTGGGCGGACCCGCCTGGCGACCACAGAGGAGCGCTGTCTCGGTTCCTAAAACCATCGGAAATTCGTCTTTTCCTACGGTCTTAGGCGACCCCCGTGAAAGGGTCGTTCGACCCCCAAAGGGGTCGTGACCCACAGGTTGAGAACCGCTGCTCTAGAGGTTTGAGAGGATCGTGAAAACCAGAAGTCAGTCCACAGGGGCCCTTGAGCTACAGGTGGTCATGGGGGTGAGGTGATTACCCAAAGGTCACTGACTGTCTTTCAGGTCACTGAAAACCATCTCTGTCTAACTGGTTAAGGACTCATTTAGAAACTGGCTGAATTCCCCCAGGAAGAGGCCACCTGATGAGGCTCTTTGAGAATGGGCCGGTCTGGCTGCCAGCCCACCTTGTACCAGTCCCCTCCCCAAACACCCCCAGGAGCCACGCCCCTCCCCAAACACCCCCAGGAGCCACTCCCCTCCCCAGACACTCCCAGGAGCCACGCCCCTCCCCAAACACCCCCAGGAGCCACGCCCCTCCCCAAACACCCCCAGGAGCCACGCCCCTCCCCAAACACCCCCAGGAGCCACGCCCCTCCCCAAACACCCCCAGGAGCCACGCCCCTCCCCAGACACTCCCAGGAGCAAGCTGCCCAGCTCCCTCCCCCTCCAGCTCTTCCTATTTCCAAACCCTTATTATCACTTCTCCTTCTTTTTTGAAATGCTTTCATTTCCTTAACCTGAGAAACGTCTCTTCTGTGATATCCCAGGACCCTTCCTCAGGGGCAGGGGACTCGGAGGTGGGGCTGGAGGGTTAGCTCTGCACAGACTTGACATACCCAATGTGACCAGCTGCTGCCGGCACCCCAGGGGGGCGGGGACCTGTGTGCGCCTCTTCACCGGCGGTTCACCTGCAGCCTCATCACGCCCTCTCATAACCTGTCCAGCGCTGCTCTCCCAAGTCCCCTGCCCCTGAGGAAGGGTCCTGGGACCCGACCCACACAGCCAGCCCTCAGCCCGGCACTGCCCGTGAAGGCTGGCGTCTGAATGGGGCCTGAGCCTGCGGGACCTGAGCCCTCCCTGGTATCTGCAGGTGGACAGTCAGAACTGGGTCCCGCTGTAGGACATCAGCTGGTGTCACCGAGACCAAAAGAATTGCTGGTGATGTAAACCCTTCCAGACCCTCAGTCGGGGTCTCCATTAAGACTCGTATCCAACAAGGTAACGTTTTTCTGCGTATGTGGCAACGTTTCAAGGGTTTGCTACCATTGCTTCCAAGGAACCCCAATCCCCGAAGGGGCCATCCTGTCCAAACAAGCCCTGGCAGCCTGGCTAGGAGGGCTGGAGAAGCAGATTCATGGCTAAAGTGAGTTTTCATGAGGAGGTGTTGGGGGGCTGGCCCCCCTGGAGCCCAGTGGAGTCAACCAGACGATGGAAACCACGGGAAGAAAGATTAAAGCGAGACTCAGCCCTGGCTGCTTTGGCTCCGCGGTGGGAGCGTCAGCCCGAGGACCACAGAGTCTCGGGTTCGAGTCCAGTCAAGGGCACGTACCCCGGTTGCGGTTCGGTCCCCGGCCCTGGCCGGGGTCCTGTGGGAGGCAGCCAGTTGCTGTGTGTTTCTCATGTCGATGTTTCTCCCCCCCTCCCTTCCTCTCTCCCCCTCTACCTGAAGATAAGTAGAAAAGTATCCTCGGGTGAGGATTTTGTGAAAAGCGAGTGTTCAGTGTTGGATGACGGACAGCTGAGCCCATTTCCTTTCTAAATAAGGAGCCATGTGGGTGCCCGCAGCTGGGCCACCTGTCCCTTCCCCTTAGACAGGTTTGCTCCTGAGTGAAGAGACCAGGCTGCCCTGAGTGGTCACTGCCGGGGCAGAGGCACGGGGACCTCGCCGAGTCCAGGGCCCAGCACTGCCCACACAGGAGCGAAGCACTCAGGACCCCGCCCGGCGCTGACCCTCTCTCCTGGGGACTCGAGAGCTGACGTCCTTCGGACAGAAACCAGGAGGACCTGGCCGAGGAGCTGCCCTGTCTCCGGGCTTTGAAGGAGGACGTGAACACGTGAGTTCTCCAGCTGAGTGGGGCTGGCTCTGCTGCCGGCCACGCCCTCTGAGAAATCTGAGGCTGTCTGTGGGGTGAACATGCACCTTGATGTCTGTTAACTTTTCTGTAAAACGGCCAAGGAATCGTTTATGTCTGACCCCCTAACTTGAGAGAAACCCCACAAACAGGTCATTGTCGCTGCCGTGAGGTGGTACTGACACACTCATTTTTCCGAGAAATTAGGGACGTCAGCCTCCTGCCTCAGCACCCCAGGTGGTCCCCAGCATCCAGGAGAGGCCGGAAGGGCAGGTTTCCGAGCCCCCCCACCTGCCTGGTTCGGTGGGGGCTGGAGTCACAGCAGACAGAGGGGCTCCCCACACACACAGGCACTCAGGCAGGTACAGTTTGAGAGAAAACTTTTCTCTGAAATGACCTGAGAGCATGGTTAGCTCACAAGGGTTCCTCCCAGATTTTCTTTGGAGGTTTCCTCTGTCTCCCGGTGACTGGCATCCTGCCTCGTTGCCTGGTGCGCAGGAGCCGACCCCCCGGGAGAAGCAGTTCTAGGGGTGCCACCTGCACAGCCAATACCGTGACAAGGGGACTGCTTTTCACAGGGGGGCGGTTAACCTCGTGAAACACTGACAACGGTGACTCACTCACGTTCCCTGCGTGGTCACGGTGATCCCATAAAGTCACGTGGCCCCTCACATGTGAGCCCAGGGTGTTCCTGACCTGCCCCAGGCCATCGAGAGGGTCCGGACAGAGACCGGGCCCTCCACTGGGTGTGAACCCTGAGGCTGCTGCAGGGCCCCGATGACGCCTGGGAAGGGGGCGGCCCCTCTGAAAGCAGAAGCTGTGCCCCCTGATTTTGAAACCATAGAATAAAACCCATTTTACCTTCTGAATTTAGCTTTTTAAAAAATCCTCACCCAAGGATTTTTTTTTTTTTTAACTTAGAGAGTAAGGGTGGAGAGAGAGAGAGAGAGAGAGAGAGAGAGAGAGAGAGACTGATCAGTCGCCTTTCTTATGAGCCCCAACTAGGGGTCGAGCCCACAATCTTTGGTGTATGGGCTGATGCTCCAACCAACTGAGCCACCCAGCCAAGGCTATAGAGCTTTTGATCAACACTACTGCTGACTTATCTTGGGCCATTTTAGCTTATTTATATATTTTTTCAAGTTATTTTTTCTTCCAATATCATTGAGAGGGATGTCTTCTAAATTACATTTTAAAAGTGATCTAGTCACCCGGCCAGTGTGGCTCAGTGGGTGAGCGTTGGCCCTGCACCAAGAGGTCGCCGGTTCGATTCCCGGTCAGGGCACATGCCCAGGTTGTGGGCCTGATCCCCAGTGGGGGGCGTGCAGGAGGCGGCCAATCCATGTTCTAGCTCATCGATGTTTCTGTCTCTCTCCCTCTCCCATCCTCTCTCTCTAAAAATCAATAAAGAAAAAACAGTGTTTAAATAAAAGTGATCTAGTCATATTCAGACCCCCTGAATCGGCAGATCCAGCCTCAGCCCTTGTCCTGCTCTCGTGTGTGCTCTCCGTGCATGGCCTGTGCATTTCAGAGACACGTGACACAGAAATGTGTGCTTCTGTTTACGTTTCGGTGTGTACAGAGAAAAAACACAGCAACACGAGCTGATTCTGTGCGCGCTCAAGTGTTGAGAGAGAAGGATGGTGACGCCTTCAGTCTGCCCTGAGATGCATCAGAAATATCAGCAGGTGACTAGATGGATAGGAAACAGAGACACGGTGACACGGGCGGCAGAGTGCAGGTGGCGGGTATCCTGGTTTCATTGTGAAATTTTTCAGCTTTGCTTTTGTGTTTGAAAATTCCCCAATACACTGTCTCAGCTGATGTTCGATCTTCTCGACCACCTGAGAGAGGCCGTTTCTGTGAGCAGGGGTTTGAACCCCCGTGCACAGCGTAAGGTTAACTCAGACCCGCACGGGAGCTCAGGCCGCTCCAGGCACGTGGCGTTCACGTGGGACAGGGAGGCGCAGGGCAGACTCACGTACCTTCGCACGTCGGCAGAGGACCTTGGAACTGCAGCTGGGAGCTGAGCTTGCAGGTGACCGTGTCCGCGCCGGTCAGCGTGTATCCGGGGTGGCAGTGGTACCTCACGACATCTCCTGAAAGAGTCCACACGGACACCAGGGGTTGAGCCGCTGCGACGTTCAGACTGTGGGCACGCGGTGACCTAGCACAGGGAGGCAAGGGCAAAGCCCCCCGCACCTACGCCGCCCTCGTCTTTGGGCTGTTTGACAAACCCGTTTCAGGTCCTCATTTATAAAGATGCTGTCTTACACCTAACCAGTATCAGGTCAGAAAGTACAGGCCCGCGTCTCCGCAGCGACGCGTCTCCCCCGTCAACTTCCCTGAGGGCTACAGAAAGTGAAATGGGCATCGGGAGTTCAGCTGTGAAACACCATGGCCTCGATATTCCCGAGAGACCGCGCCGTGACCTTGGCCTGCTCGGCACGACGGTCCCCTGCGCTTGGCCATTCTGAGGGTAGGAGAAATGAGGTCCCCAGGTTTGACCACAGGACAGAGCTCTCATGATCGCGACTGAGAAATCCCAGGTCACAGGACTCACTCTCGGACACGCGTGTCTGATTTCCTAGTGGGACCTGATGCTTCGCTAAAGACATAGACCATTAAGAGCACGTGACATTGCGGACTTTCTAAATGTGATCATGAAATGCGTCCACCAATCACATCCCCGTGTGGACGCGAGGCCAGGGTGACCCTGACCGCTGCTCTAGCCACAGAGGATGAAGTTGTAGTTATCACCCTGCGTCCCTCTGTCTGTCCGCTCCGGGAAACGTTGCCCAAGAGGAAAACACGAGCTACTGAACGTTTGCCTCGGGGAACGTGCTCAGCGTGACGGAAAGAAACTTCAAATGCCTGACCCCAAAGGTCACGGGAGCGAAGAAAGGAAACCGTGTGGACCCGACGTGCGACCTGTGTGCACAGCCGTGAAGGAGCCATTCGGGCGTCCTCACACTCGGCCCCTGGTCGGAGCGGCTGTCGGGCGGGAGGGGTGAAGCTGGTGGCCCCGAAGGAAGCCACATTACCTATTTCGAAGTCCTCGTCCTCGCTCAGCATCTCCGCCTGGGGCACGGCCGGGGGAGGTGGACACTTCTTGAGCTGAAATGCTAAGTGGTTCCCGAGAAGAGGAAAAGCACCAGTTACATTTGCTGAACAGACACAACTGTTACAGAGTCGCTCTCTACGCCGTCACAGCGCTTGGGAGGGTCCGCGCCGGTAAACCAGGGTCTTATACAATCTGCAGGCATCCTCTGCTCTCAGGATAATTTAACACCAAGGATATCCAGGCAATGAGGAAAGGATACCATCTTAAAGTGGTAACATTTCTATACAGCCCCTCACGATACTGTAATTCTGTAAGAGAAACACTTGACCCAGAGCCTGGTTCCATGTCCACATCAGGGGGACAAGGTCTCTGTCCCACCCCAGGACTTCCATGGTGGTGGCCATCCTCATGAGACCTGAGGGACCCCTATACTTATTTCCACACTACGTAGCATTCATTCTCAAAATCCTTGGGGCTGGCTCCGCCCCATCGGCAATTACACGGACGCTGAGGCCACCAGTGAAAAGCACCCAGGTGTGTCAGTGGCGTCCACATCAGTTTCATTCACAACACACTTGTCTTGGAACGAATCCAAGCTCACCACAAAACACAGCTGAGAAAGGTGTGAAATAGTACAGATATCAAGCAAAAAAAAAATAAAGGGTCCCCGGTAACGCTGGCACCCAAGGCGATGACATCAGCTGGGCACCAGGCGCGAGCCAGGAGCGGAGGAAACCGGATGGGGGTCTCTGCCCTCGCGGGGGTAACACACTCACCATGGAAGTTGAGGACGAAGAAGCCTCCGTTGGAGAAGTCGCTGTGGAACTTGAGCAGGACTTGGTTGGTGGAGCTGTACGCGGTCTCCAGGGCTGTGTTCCCGCTGAAGACGCCCAGCTGGGGTGAGCTCTGGTCAGGACCATCCCTGAGAAGAGAGAGGACGGTCTGAGCGGAGGGCCCAGCTGAGGCCTCCGGGAACAGCCGTTCTCTTTGAGAGCTGGGCTCTGTCCCCCAGGGGCAGGGCGACCCGCCAGGGGCAGGTGCCGGGCTGTGTGCACACCTGGACACGCCCCTCTGACTCGGCGTCCACCCCCACGGCCCACGGCTGGCCTTCCAGAGGATGTGCAGAGACCTGGCCATGAATCTAGTGACCACAATCCCTCCCATTTATCAGCTTTCTGCCCAGGTCCACGTCCAACTCGAACTGCAGTGGTGCCTCTGCTCAGGGTGGGCTTCATGGAGACCTGTTACTGCACTGAAATCTGTAAAACTGAATAAAACGGCACCATCTACCGGATGTGTGTGGAAATTTCAGGATGTTTTTCCTGTTGCCCCAGCTGGCCGGACCCCCGGCTCCCCCTTCTCAGTTCGACAGGGGCCTCTGCACCCACCTGCCACACCCGCAGGTTTGTCGGGGTGAAATCGCCAATAGCAGCGGGTTGTTGTTTGTTTTGCTTTCGAAATGGCAGCTTCACGTGGCCACCTGGCTATTCCAAGTTCCGTGTTCCTCCTCGTCCCTCACCGCTGGTTTGGGGCCTTCTCATCCCCCCTCAGGAGTTACTTCTTCAGCCTCGGAGCCAAACTCTCTTCTTGCCCACAGATAACATTCACCCCCAAACGAGACTAGACCTACTGCAGCCAGGGTCTGCTCTTACAATCCCCCCTGAAGCCACTCGGTGAAGCCTCGTTGCTCTTGGAATGGAGCCCGGAATCCTTAGCACGAGTTACAAGGTCCGTGGGGACTGGCCCTCTACCCGGGAGGTCACCTCTTCTCTCTCCAAGTGCTCTCATGGTCAGCACACCACACCCTGCACCGTCCGGTCCCGGGGTCACCGCTCAGCTGCCGACAGCCTTTCCGATCCCATAACCAGAACACCCTCACTTTACCACAGCTTCACCACACTCACACTCACACACACATCCCCAGTCACACAGCCACACACCCACACTCACAGCCACACACACTCACTCTCATATACATGCACACTCAGACATGCACTGACACACACTCACAGACACTCACACACACTCTCACACACACTCAGACATGCACGGACACACTCTCAGATGCACACTCACACACCCACACTCAGTCACACACACTCACTCTCATACACACTCTCAGACATGCACGGACACGCACTCAGATGCACACTCACACACCCACACTCAGTCACACACTCACTCTCATACACACACTCAGACACGCACTGACACGCACTCACACACACATTCACACACACATTCACACACACAGTCACACACACTCTCATACACACACTCAGACATGCACTGACACACACAGACACTCACACACCCACACTCAGTCACACACACTCACTCTCATACACACACTCAGACATGCACTGACACGCACTCACACACACATTCACACACACATTCACACACACAGTCACACACACTCTCATACACACACACTCTCATACACACACACTCTCATACACACACTCTCATACACACTCACTCTCATACACACACTCAGACATGCACTGACACACACTCACAGACACTCACACACCCACACTCAGTCACACACACTCACTCTCATACACACACTCAGACACGTACTGACACGCACTCACACACACATTCACACACACATTCACACACACAGTCACACACACTCTCATACACACTCACTCTCATACACACACTCAGACACGCACTGACACGCACTCAGATGCACACTCACACACTCACTCTCATACACACACTCAGACACGCACTGACACGCACTCAGATGCACACTCACACACTCACTCTCATACACAGTCACACACACTCTCATACACACACACTCTCATACACACTCACTCTCATACACACACTCAGACATGCACTGACACACACTCACAGACACTCACACACCCACACTCAGTCACACACACTCACTCTCATACACACACTCAGACACGCACTGACACGCACTCACACACACATTCACACACACATTCACACACACAGTCACACACACTCTCATACACACTCACTCTCATACACACACTCAGACATGCACTGACACGCACTCAGATGCACACTCACACACTCACTCTCATACACACACTCAGACACGCACGGACACGCACTCAGATGCACACTCACACACCCACACTCAGTCACACACACTCACTCTCATACACACACTCAGACACACACTCACACACCCACACTCACAGACACTCACACACACTCTCATACACACACTCAGACACGCACGGACACGCACTCAGATGCACACCCACACACTCACTCTCATACACACACTCAGACACACACTGACACGCACTCAGATGCACACTCACACACTCACTCTCATACACACACTCAGACACGCACGGACACGCACTCAGATGCACACTCACACACCCACACTCAGTCACATACACTCACTCTCATACACACACTCAGACACACACTCACACACCCACACTCACAGACACTCACACACACTCTCATACACACACTCAGACACGCACGGACACGCACTCAGATGCACACCCACACACTCACTCTCATACACACACTCAGACACGCACTGACACGCACTCAGATGCACACTCACACACACATTCACACACACAGTCACACACACTCTCATACACACACACTCTCATACACACACACTCTCATACACACTCACTCTCATACACACACTCAGACACGCACTGACACGCACTCAGATGCACACTCACACACACATTCACACACACTCTCATACACACACACTCTCATACACACACACTCTCATACACACTCACTCTCATACACACACTCAGACACGCACTGACACGCACTCAGATGCACACTCACACACTCACTCTCATACACACACTCAGACACGCACTGACACACTCTCAGATGCACACTCACACACACACACTCACAGCCACACACACTCACTCTCATACACACACTCAGACACGCACGGACACACTCTCAGATGCACACTCACACATGCCGCCTTGTTCACTGCGATTTCGTCTCTAAGTTTTCATGAGTTTATTCCGAAAGCACATCCCGGTTCCGAAGTCGGGCTCCCCATCCTGGTCCCTGGGCCTCCCTACTTGGGCCCTCAGAGTATCACAGGGACCCACTCAGGAAGGGCGCCCGCGCTTCAGCCCAGTGTGCCCTGTGCGTGCTCAGTGACCCCACCTGCAGTGTCGGGGGGCTCTGTGCGCAAACCTTTCTCCCAGGGCTGCAGAGGCCTCACCCCCTCACGACGGTGGAGGAGCCCACCGGCTTCGTGTTAAGGAAAGAATCGCCCTGATGTGTAAAATAACAGCCGTGGGACCGTCTCCTACATTCGGAGTCGCCCTGGGGAGAGCTACCAGGTAGCGAAACCCCGCCAGGTTCCGTGACGTCTATTCCCCACATTTCTCAGTTTGGCTGCACCGTCTCCTCCCCAGGGTCCGCCTAGCACCTCGTCCCTCGGTGGTCGGATGCAGGGGCTGGGAGTGGCCCCTAAACCCCGCCGCAGGGGCCGCGCCGTCCATACCACACCGCGATGTAGTCGTTCACGGCCTCGGTCTGCAGCAGGGTGAAGTTGATGTAGACCCCATGGCCCGGGGGCACAGTGACCAGCCACAGGCAGTCCTTCAGGACCGGGTACTCGTCGGGAAATCCGGGGGAATAGATGGTGCCGTTCTGAGACGTGATGTTATACCCGCAAGGAGCTGAAACGAAGCACAGAGAAGGGTCCCCACACCGTCCACGTGGGCGAGGACGCAGCCCACGATCTCCGAGGGTCTCGTTCCCTGGACAGCGTGCTCCCTGAGGAGGGATGACTGCCAACTACGTCTCAGGAACCACTCTGTCCGAACAACTGCCCTGAAGCCTCAGCACCGCGGAGGAATTACACCTCCAAGCTGTCGGCTCCATGTCAGGTATTCGCCAACTCGCAAGATACCTTCAGGACCCAGCCGTTGCCGTGTGACTGACCTTTCGTACGCTGTCTCCTGGGCTCCTGGGTGATCGCAGGGCTATCCTGCGTGAGGGATCACGTGCGAATTATGCATACATGTAAAACTGAAATTTCCTGTTTAAAGAGAGGTTCCCAAGGCCTACTGGAAGTGTCTGAGACAGTGGCATTCCTGTCTGTTCACCTTGGGACAAAGCCGTTATCGCTCCCCTGCAGCCGCCGCCTGGGGGGGATGAGCCACGGCGGCGGCTGCTCACGGGGCCCTTGCGATCTCCCCGCGTTCAGCCGTGGGAAGAGCTACAACCCCATCAACTCGGCTCCGTGTTACTTATAAGTTCATATCCACTGTTGCCATGGCAATGACTTTTATTCATAAAACATGAAAATGACCACCTATTGGCAGAATAACCTGGGATGTCTTTTTTAATCCGTACGGGGGCATCATCCATCCAGGTGTAGACAGGCAGGACCTCATCCAACGGAAAAGCCAACAGATGTGCGGTGAGTGTGTCACCAGCAAGCCCTGGTGGGCTTTTAAAGACCAGCCGCCCAAGGTGTGACATTTAAGTGGAATGACCGGGCCAAAGTACATAAGAACAATAAAAAGAAAAGCTGAACAACAACGGAAGATGGCGACGAGCCGGTGGCGGCCTTACATGCCGGATTCACCGCACAGGTGCGTGCTGGCCTCAGACGGGCAGGGAGCGTGGAAGGGCTGACTGGTGAGGGTTTGGGGTGAGCCCCTTAGCAGAAGGGTGTGTGGGGAGCACCTAAGTTCTTTTTTTTTTTTAATCCTCATCCAAGAACATTTTCATTTATCTTCAGACAGAGCAGGAGGGAGAGAGGGAAGAAGAGAGAGAGAGAAACATCCACGTGAGAGAGACACATCTGGCTGCCACCCACATGACCCCAACCGGGGCCAGGAACAAATTGCAACCGAGGTACGCGCCCTTAGCGGGAACAGAACCCGCGACTCTCTGGTCCACAGGCCGATGCTTTCACCGCTGAGCCAAACCGGCCAGGGCTTTTGTGGGGCTTTTAAAGACCAGCCACATAAGCTGTGAAATTTAAGTGGAATGAAAAAAATAAACAAGAAGAAAAGCTGAACAACACCGAAAGACAGTGATGAGCCGGTGGCGGCGGCAGTGCGTGCCGGATTCACCGCCCTGGTGCGTGCTGGCCTCAGACCTGCAGGGACCGGGGAAGGGCTGACTGGTGAGGGTTTGGGGTGAGCCCCTTAGCAGGAGGGCCGCGGAGAGCACCGCAGCCTCACTGTGCTCCTTGGGAGTGGGCGGGGAGTCAGACAACTCTGATCCATGACGTAGCAAAGTGTATGGGACCGGTCACCTGCAGCCGGGGCCGCAGAGACGCTGCCGTGACAGCCAGCTTGCCGGGGGCCCCGGGGATGTCCCACTTCCTGTCCCCCACACCGCCTGCCATTGCTCCCCTGCCGGAGAAGCTCAAGGCTTTTCCCCTCTGCCTTTGGGGAGAAGCGGTCCTTCATTCTGAACTCACTGGAGGGTCACAGCCTCTGACCCTCTGGGGAAGGGTCTTTTCTGTAGGTGTCGATCCACTTGGTAAACCGCCACTTTAAAAATACACACTTCTTAATATATTTTCGGCTGGTGGGATTTCTCACGTCAATCATGCGATCGAAAGGGTTTCTGCTTACAAATCTGTCCCTTTAAAAGGAGCTGCTCACAGGCTTACTCCCGCAGCTGGTCCGAGGACTCCCCTGTCCACGTGATTCCCCACCCAGTGCGGATGCCTTCGAAGTGAGGTGCCCTACGGCAGTGCTTTAAAAAGACCTTAAAAGAATATCTACCTGAACATTTCAGTGACAAAGGATGAATGAGGTCAATAAAATATTTAAACAATTTGAGCTGTCTTTGTAAGTATAGATGCCTATTTAATTATCAAATTACATTTAGTTCATTAGCAAACTGGTCTTTTAAACCACACTTGAACAAATCTAGCCCACCTGTTTTAAAAGCTGAGGCTTCTGTGTAAGTATAAGTTACTGGCAAAATTATACGATGTCTTGAATTTCTCACCCTTTTCAGACATACTCTTTTATTTATTTATTTTAACAATATCAAACTTTTTTTTTCCTTTATTGATTTTAGAGAGAGAGGAAGGGAGAGGGAGGGAGAGATAGAAACATCGATGAGAGAGAACATCAATTGGCTGCCTCCTGCGTGCCCCCCACTGGGGATCAGGCCCACAACCTGGGCATGTGCCCTGACTGGGAATTGGACCGGCGGCCTCTTGGTGCAGGGTCGACGCTCAGCCACTGAGCCACACCCGCTGGACTGGATATCACACTTTTTGTCCACATTGTTTTTCAGTTATGTTTGAAATATACTAATTTTACATATTAGATTCTTACAAAAAAAATAACATATTGCTATTTTAAGCCTATTCAAAGAGACTGCTTTCATATATTTGGTGAAGATGGATGCTTTAAGATTTAGAATTCTTGACTCTTAATTGTCTGAATGGCTCCATTTTTAACAAAAGCACCCAGAAGTGGTTCAAAGCGCCTACGTTTTCTCTGAGATGCCCCTGAAGCCCACGGGCTGGACCTTTGACGCTGCTCCTCAGTCCAGCGGCCCTGTGTCAGCGTAGATCTGCAGGGCCCCACCGCGCCCGGCTGACAAAGCACATGTCAGCTGAGGACACCGGCGACCGCAGGGGTCCTGGCCCAGAGCGCTTCGCTGTGCGTTCCAGGACACTAACCGTTTCCGAACAGACCACCGTCCTCAGGGAAAAAGCACTCTTTTTATGGTATATCTTTTTGGAAATACACCTTTCAGGAATAAAATAACTGTTGCTCTAAAATAATATCCTCTGCTTAATTTTTTAAGTTTAATTTCAATACAAAGAATATTAAACACACATTGGATGGTGCTTAGAAAATGTATTTATGACATAGTCTTACATGAATCTTATGTTTTAGGTTTTTATACTGTTTATGACTTTATAGGTATGAAGAGAGATGTAATGGTGAAAATATCTGTGTAGTAAACAATGTGAGCTTGCCCAAAGAGAAGTCTGTCATGGGCCCTGGATTCTGGGAGGTGATTTAAGGCATAGGGCATACCTGATGACACTGTCTTTGTTTCACCTGGGGCTGGCCACGCCCAGTAGTCTGAGGTCTGGTCTGGCCACACCCAATAGTCTGAGGCTGGGGCTGCTCACATTCAATAATCTGAGGCTGGGGCTGGCCACACCCAATAGTCTGAGGCTGGGGCTGCTCACATTCAATAATTTGAGGCCTGGACTGGCCACACCCAATAGTCTGAGGCTGGGGCTGGCCACACCCAATAGTCTAAGACAGGGCTGACCCCACAGGAATTCCAGTTGGTCTGGAAACTGACATCAACCACTGGATACTCTATCAATCAGTCACATCCATGTCACAGTGCCCAATAAAACCTCTGGACACGCAGGCCCAGGTGAGCCTCCCAGGTGGTAGGTCTTTTCCGACTGTCACAGGTCATTTCTGAGAGTGATGCACCCTCCATGTTCCACCTACCCCTCTTTTCCTGTGGATGGTTTCACATCCTTTCCCCATTAGAAACCACATCCTGAGCACAACGGCCTAGAGAGTTCTCTGAGGCCAAGTGATAGTTGGGGAGAGCCCAAGGCCACCCTAAGGGTGGACAATCAGGAGGCGTCAGAGAAATGAAATCTAATTAAATATTTAATTCTACTTTTTCCTATCAAGCCAAGAAGTCTTCCCTTTACCTATGAATACAAAAGATTCGGGGAAAAATTGCAAATTAAATATAAGATTTTAATCCTAGCCATTCAAAATAATGTATGCACATAAATATATGAATTTGTAACTGGAGAATAGTATGAAAAATTTTCTAAGTAGTTTTAATTTAAAAAAATGAGACATGAAACTCAACCGGTGTGGCTCAGTGGTAGAGCGACGACCCTGCGCCAAGAGGTCTCGGTTCGATTCCCGGTCAGGGCACATGCCCAGGTTGTGGGCCCGATCCCCAGGGAGGGGCATTCAGGAGGGCCAATCGATATTCTCTCTCATCCATGTTTCCATCTCTCTCCCTCTCCCTTCCTTTCTCTCTAAAATAAAAGAAAAAATAAAACAAATAAAAAAATAAAGACATAAAGTGCTATTCTGAGTTTTAAAAAATAATTTTAAAATGCTGTTTTAAATGTCCATTACCCCAGTTAGTCATTTTAAATTATTAACTTTATATTAGGTTAAGATAATTTTAAAAATGTAGCTAAAGTTTTCTTATAGTTATTTTGATAATGGTACAGAATGGAAAAATACAGAAGAAAAGAGGATTTCAGGTCCATTGCTGTGTCGTGCTGTCTTTTTCCTCTTTAGTAGAAATTCAAACAGAGCTATCATTCCCTTTTGCGCCACAGGACATAAGTATTTAACATTTCAAAGGTCCACAGACTTGGTATTTTCATTATTTTTTCACTCAGAGCTACTGTATGTATAATGTGGAAATATTAGGTTTCCAGTCACTTCCTGTGCGATACGCGTTCTTCAAAACAGAGCACGTGCTGTTTACTTTGACTCGGTCCTGCGGCCGTCCCCAGGTCACCCGAGCAGCTGGCAGCCAGTGAGGCTGGGGAGAAGCGGTCCCCGCTCAGAAGAGGGTTTGCCAGGAACACAGACCCACAGCCGACAGCCTGGTCCCAGCCTCTGCGGGAACCCATCCCACGCACACCTGGACAGCATCACTTCGTTTGTCCTAAGAGGGACCCACGCTGTGTCCCTGCCTAGACCCCTTCTCCCTGGGACGGTCTCTACCTCCGAGCAGCCGAACAGTAAACCTGATTCAAGTCCCACTACAAAAACGAAACCTGTTTTCTGAAATGCAAAAGCAACATACGATTATTGTGGATGTTAAGCAATAAAACATATGTAGGGTAAAATGAATAATGGTCCTGTTCACCTCTAATCTCACAATTTGATGGAACCACTGTGAAGCCAAACACCGGTCTCGTCCTACACACATCACCCCACTTCGTGGCAAACCCCCTCTTTTGTGCCTGAAACTCATCAACCAGTCAGCATAACAAGTATGTGTGTTTATTATTTGATATCCTTGGGTGGACAAGACTTATTTATTCATCGTTTTTCAACTTTTTGGCATGTGATGTGTTCCTGAAGACTAAGTAGAATGAGTCTGACATAATAGATTCCAATAAATATCTCTTGAACATATTATTAAACTCGCAGATACGTTGATTTAATATGTAATGCACCAGTATACACAAGAGACAGTGTGTTTTCTCCCAAGAAGAATGACCGACCTACCGTCGCATCTCGGAAAGGGGTAGTTCCAGTTTCTGTCGGTGCCATGCAGACAGGTGAGGACAGGGTGGCCGATTAAGACGTACCCAGGATAGCACACAAACGATACCGACTGCCCCACGCTGTAGTCGGAGTGGACCATGTACCCGTTCCGAAAAGGAGGGGGGTCTGGGCAGTTCTGGAGTTCATAGGCTGAAAGACACAGAGCCAAGTTCGTAAGACGTTCATTTAGTTTGGAATGTAGAGGAGGAACATGGCTCCATTAGCGTCTGAAGATGAACTTTTAGGTATTTTAAAATATATGTATGTTTTCCAAGTTGCCAGTTACCATGCTAAGTAAAACGATCATTATTAGTAGTATTAGAATGATCACAATTTGCACTGTATACTTACCGTGAGCACAGAAGTTATGTAACACATACCAAAAGTAAGTGTGACAATGTTTACCTTGAAAAAAAGTATATGAGATGAATTTAATTAAAGGAAGAAATAGAGATGCTAATAATAAAAAAAAAAAAAAAAAGTGCCTATGAAGATTGTCAGGTGAGCCCTGGCCGGTTTGGCTCAGCGGTTAGAGCGTCCGCCTGCGGTCCGGAGAGACCCGGGTTCGGTTCCCGCTAAGGGCACGTACCTCGGTTGCAGTTTGTCCCCGGCCCTGGTTGGTCGTGCGGGTGGCAGCCACTCGATGTGTCCCTTTCACATCGATGTTTCCCTCTCTCTCTCTTCTTCTCTCTCCCTCCCACTCTGTCTGTACAAAAAATGGAAAAATGTCCTCGGATGAGGATAAAAAAAAAAGATTGTCAGGTGAACATGGACCCAACAATCCCCTTTAATTTAAAAGAAAATTGTACTAGCCTCTAATTTGAGTGCTTCTAATTAGATGCTGTTGCTCTGTGTGTTCATTTTAATTTATGTTCAGAACAAATGAAATAGAGAAATGTGGTCCGCTCTCTGTTTTTTAGCGGTAGAATCGGGATGGATGGGAGTGTGAGGGCCGAGGAAGTACACGTGCGTCGTGGGAAACAGTCCTGGGGACGCAAGTACAGCACAGGGAATCCAGTCAATAATGTTGTAATAACTGCGCCACTGCCAGGCGGGCACTGGGAACGTCGGGGGACCACTTTGTACGGTATAGTGCAGAACAGTACAAAATAATATTGAATGTAAATTGTAATTGAGAAGTAAAATTAAAAACCAAAGTGTACAGGCATTGTGGGAAGAATTATTATGAGGTTAATTTTTATACAATAAATCATTTATTGTGCTCCTCACGGTCCCTAGAATACCCCGAGGTAGGATGATAGACAAACGCTGCTAGCAGACTGTGTCATTCACAAATGTACAGACACATTCACACAGGTGACTGCCCTGTAAGCTGGCCGTCACCTCCGGGTATCGCGATTTTAAAAGGAGATGAGCCGCCATGGCGTGATGTTCTTGCCCACTCTTTAGAGGCAGGGACTCTTCAGAGCAGAATTCCACCCATCACCTTCTACTGCGTGGAGTTTGCTCGAACACTTAAGGGGACTGGGCATCGCTCTGATACCACAGGAAAGCCACGTGGGAAGACCCCTCCTGGAGAGAACAGTGCTCAGCTCCCACCTGCCACGTGTTCCTGCTGAAAACAGACAGGGACCCAGCGCCACCTCCACAGAGCCACTGATAATGGAGGAGGAGCAGACAGGTCACCAGTGATGGCCAGGGACCTCGCCCTCCATGTGGGTCTATGATTTGTGCAGGGACTCGATGAGTTTGGGACTGTTTATTTCTGCATTAATTCCCTGCAGGGAAGGAGTGAGAGAGGGTACAGGAGATGAAGGGGAAGAGAAGCAAGGTGGCGTGTTGCTGGGCACATGAGGGTGTGTGCAATGCAATTGAGGGACAGAGGACCCAGTTTGCAAATCCCACTCCAATCAGTATCTCTCTCCCTCTCTCTAACACTCACATACAAACACACATGCCCATACCCACAGGCATAGGCATACATTCGTGCACACACAGATCACACACAGCACAAGTGCACATAACATGAACACACAGACAAACACGCATACACAGGTACATAGTCAAACACACCACACATAGGTGCACACCTCTGTGCATGTGCACACACATCACAAATGCACACACACGTGCATAGGCGCACAGGCACACACACATACACACAAGTACAAAAACATAACACACATAAGTACACAACTCTGTACATGTGCACACACATCACAAATGCACACACGTGCACAGGTGCACACAGGTGCACATACACGTACACACACACACATGCACACTCCTTTTCTCTAATCCCTCGTGCTCCCCCCTGGGCCAGTTTGGCATCTGGCAAACACACACCAAGGCTTGCACCTCTCCCAGGGGCCACCCACCCTGCAACCACAGGGGCCTTTCCCTGAAAGCCAGCCCAGGCAGCCCAGCGGGCACCACAGCTCACGGGAGAACCCTCGCGAGGTCGTTGAATCAGACATCATTGGCAGGCTCGTGCTCACAGACAACACAGACCATCCCCTACTCCGCTCAGCAACAACAGATTGCCTTCCTGCTTATGCCTTCACAACGAAATCAGCAGTTGGTTCTCATTCTTGTCTCTCTTGAAACACAATAATCTCGGCTCGAGAAATGAGTCCATTGACACATCAAATGATCACCAGTTTCCATGGGAAGGCGACCAAACAGAACCATATTTGACATCCTTGTCATCACTGGGGGATCCTACTCCCCACCCAGCAGTGCCCTGGGCACTGATACAAACGTCAGCTTCACTTGCACTATAAACAATGTAACTACAAACATCAGCTCCACTGCACTATAAACAATGTAACTACAGACATCAGCTCCACGTGCACTATAAACAATGTAACTACAGACATCAGCACCACGTGCACTAAAAACAATGTAACTACAGACATCAGCTCCACGTGCACTAAAAACAATGTAACTACAGACATCAGCTCCACGTGCACTATAAACAATGTAACTACAAACATCAGCTCCATGTGCACTAAAAACAATGTAACTACAAACATCAGCTCCACGTGCACTAAAAACAACGTAACTACAGACATCAGCACCACTGCACTATAAACAACGTAACTACAGACATCAGCTCCACTGCACTATAAACAATGTAACTACAAACATCAGCTCCATGTGCACTAAAAACAATGTAACTACAGACATCAGCTCCACGTGCACTAAAAACAATGTAACTACAGACATCAGCTCCACGTGCACTAAAAACAATGTAACTACAGACATCAGCTCCACGTGCACTATAAACAATGTAACAGCAGGAATTCTTGATGAACTGTCATGAGAGGCAGCATTTCACACACACACACACACACACACACACACACACTCTGCCGGGGCTCAGAAGGAGCAGCTGCAGTCTGCATTCACATCTGCACCGACTACGACCTTGAAGCTTGAAGCCCCCCTCAAGTACCTGGCTTCCCTCTCCATAAAAAATCAGCCTGGGCCGCAGCCTCTGAGCATAAACCTAGTCCTCAGAATTGCTAAAACACACACGTCCTGAAGTCCCCAGGTCCCCAGACTGGCCATTTCACTTTAATAACCAGGCTGGCCAGCAACTTCTTCTGTAACCAGGCTCTGACCCTGGATCTCATTTTAAGATCAATTCCCTGCCTAAATGCTCCACACTGGCTCTGCTAACGCCCGTTTTCCAGTCCTTGAGTTAGAAACCAGGTACAGGAACTTGATTTATGAACATGGTTCCTGACCTTCAGTCCTCAAGTTCTGAAGAAGTCATTTAACTTCCCGACAGGTACATCTACGCATAACGTTTCTGACCCTTACGTGGCCACACGCAAACGCTGAGGCTTAAGTCAGAGGAACAACAGACATCCCAACAACTACTGATGGAGTCGACCGATATTATTCCGGTGTGTGGCCAGTCCCGGGCTTCTGGGGCTCCCGAAGGCACTGCTGGGGGTGATTTACCAAATTTCTTGCTCATAATTGTGATGACAATTGTGTCTTCTATTTTGACCAACCAAGGATCAGGTCCCGGGAGTCCTTCTGCAAAGGAGCCTTTACATTGTGGAGAAAGTCGCTGTGACCCAAAGGAACCACGGGGCTCCCTGAGGCTGTGGACTCACCCACAGACTCGCCAGCTGTTTCCTGCACGGCTTCGAGAGCTTGGGGAGGGCTGAAGAAGCCAGCAGGAAATCTCAGCTGGGAGGGGGACATCGAGGCGCCGCCCTCCTGCAGACACGCCTCTGACATGCTGTGGTCCAGAGGACCAGTTCCCTTAGGGGAGAGAAGGGCTGACATGGTTTCTTGACTCTCAGCTAATTTCTGTCACCGCAGGGAGAGGAGTGGCCTCTAGCTTCTAAGAGTCCAGAGCAGGGACCACGTCCCAGGCTCTGTCTCCAGAGAAGCACCCTCAAGGGGATGGGACGGGTACAGTTGTTCAAAGCATGTTCTGCGCACACACCTCTGTCTAGAGAGACTCGGGGTGAGCGCAGGTCCGTGCAGGCAGGTAAGTGGGAACGGGGAGAGGCGGCCGCCCCCCCTCTTCCAGGGGAGCCGGTGGCTCAGAATGTCACTGAGACCAAGAGGGGACCGTCTGGAAACCCATCAACGCCACGTCTGCACCCCGGCACGTCTGCAGGGAGCAGGGGGACGGCCGCTCCCCCGGTCTCCTTCCGGGAGACGCTGGTGTCGACAGCCTGGCTCCCATGTTCTCAGACTCATTTCACGAGGAATCCCAGTTTTCCGACGCATGAAGGACTACGCAGATCCGCAGGTCCTGCTACGTTTTGTGTCATTTGCTCTGTTTTTTGTTTTTTAGAGGAACTTCACACACCAAGCAGAAGGAAAGAGAAAGAATAGGAGTCTGATAAAAAGCAGACCTCTCCACTGCCTACGGCCAAGGCTCTGTGAGCTCGTCGGCTCTGAGCAACGCGCTTTAGACCGTGAACAAGGGAAAGAAAGAGACAGACAGAGGGAGGGAAGAAGGAAGATAAATATCCAATTCCTCCAAACCACAAAAACCAAAGAAGTAAAGAAAGCCACTAGCATTATCAACGTGCCACAATTTCAAAAACAGTATCAAAAACCCACTGAGGAGCCTCTACCAACACACGATTGCAAGTGAACACCCAGGATTTGTCTTTCCCAGGGGACTCCTTGCTTGTACCTGGGAAAATATAGGTTACTCCCACCTGTCAATCTGAGGCAGTGCCTGCATCAGTGTTTAGACCACATGTGCCTGACGTGACCGCCACTGGGGTCATGCAGTCAGTCGTGTGTCTGAGGACCTCAGGTCTTCTGACGCAGGTCTAATTAGCTCATAAAGTCTTCCTGCCCTGGCTGGTTTGGCTCAGCGGTTGGAGCGTCGGCCTGAGGTCCAGAGAGACCCGGGTTCGGTTCCCGCTAAGGGCATGTACCTCGGTTGCAGTTTGTCCCCGGCCCTGGTTGGTTGTGCGGGTGGAAGCCACTCGATGTGTCCCTTCACGTCGATGTTTCTCTCTCTCTCTCTCTTCCTCTCTCTCCCTCTCGCTCTATCTGAACAAAAAATGGAAAAATGTCCTCGGGTGAGGATAAAAAAAAAAGTCTTCCTGCTGTCACCTGTTTTTCAGTGCTTGAGTTAGAAACGAGGAACAGGAACTTGATTTATGGAACACGGTTCCCGATCCTCGGTCCTCAAGTTCTGAAGGAGTCATTTAACTTCCCGACAGGTACCTCTACGCGTAACGTTTCTGACCTTTACGTGGCCACACGCAAATGACGAGGCTTAAATCTGAGGAACGGCAGACAGCATCGAGAACGACAAGGGTGTTCAGCGGGATTCGTGCACCTTCTTCTGAGTGATTCATCGTGTGCTTAACTAATAAATCACAAGTGGAACCTAGGGATTCTGACATACAGACCACAGATGTGTCATGCTGCCAATTTATACACTTTGAAACATGACACACTATCTCATTAAGTATCATTACTGTCAGAAATGATACCCGGTGAGAAATTACAGCCCTTCAAATTCTCCCTCTTTCTCTTGTGTTTTGTTTATTTTTTATATCTCTTAGTTATATTAAATTAATTACCTAAAGTAAACATATATTGTTTAGTGTGTATGTGTATGTGAATAAAATGTTTTTATTGATTTTTTTAGAGAGAGAGAGAGAAACATCAATGAGGAACACTGATCAGCTGCCTCCTGCACGCCCCCTACTGGGGATCGAGCCCACAACCCGGGCACGTGCCCTGACGGGGAATGGAACTGGGACCTCTCAGTCCATGGGGTGACGCTCAATCCACTGAGCCACACCGGCTGGGCTAGTATATGTTTTTTTTTTTTTTTATTATTCCTCATCCAAGGATACTTTTCTATTTATCATCAGACAGAGTGAGTGGGAGGGAGAGAGCGATAGAGACAGAGAGAAACATCGATGTGATAGAGCCACATTGACTGGTTGCCTCCCACGCGACCTGACCAGGGCTGGGGACGGACCCAAACCAAAATACGTGCCCTTGACCGGAATCAAACCTGCAACTCATCGGTCCTCACGCAGGCCCACACTCTAACCGCTGAGCCACACCAGCCGGGCCAGTATACGTATTTTTTGATGAGGACAGTTGAGCTCAGTCAGGTGTCAGAAATAAGACATCCACTGGACCAGCCAGATGTCCAGCCTCGAGGAGGACGCCCTCAGCCAGCTGCTCCGGGCCGCGTGGATGACGCCGGACGGCAGCTGTCAGGGAGCTGAAGGAAGCACTGAGTGAGCGCTCCCCACTCAGAACGGGGACACTCGGGGACTGTCCCCAGGGACGGCGCAGGACAGACGACTCCAGATGCTGACATCGCAGGAGAGAAAACCAAGTGGATCTGAGGGAGGTTTGCAAACTGTGTGAACTAATTCTAAATACTGACCATTTAAAATATGAGTAATTTGCAGTAACTTTATGACCGCTGGTCTAGACGAGTCCTACGCAGGTCTTTGGGACGTGTTTTCTCAGACTTTTTTGTTTGTTTGTTTGTATTGAGCTAATCTGTAAGTTTGGAATTATGGAGACCTGCCTTCGTACCCCTATCTGAAAAATACCAAGAGAAGTAAAACAACATTTTTTTGAACTGTGGAGGGTAGAAGTTATTATGTAAAAAAAAAAAAATAGTTTAAAACTATATGGCAAGCAATGCTCTCATGAGATTATTTCCAATATCATATGATGACGATGTATCATTTTCATAAATTTGTTAAATTCTTTTTCTAAAATTAATTTACTTTCCAATCACAACTGGCACAATATTGTGTAAGTTTCAGACATGTGACATAGTGATTAGACAAAGATCTACCTCATGAGGATCTTTATTTGACTTTTGCAATGTCAATAAGGAAAGAAAAGTCAACTTTTGAATAGGAGATGTCTCCGAAGTTCTCGGGGTCCACGGAGGGCCACTGACTTGGAAGTTTATGGCTTGAGGAACACAGGGGTTATATTTGTACTGCCTCGGACATTATGAGTCTGCCTGTCAGACATGGAGATTGCCCTGGATGAAGCAGGTGTCATTGGTGATCATGAGTACAATGTTCGTTCCTTACAGAACACACGTCCGTAGGCCGGGGGGCGGGGGTCACAGGAATATGACACAGGCCTGGATATCAGGTCCCGAGCCCCACACTTAGGGCGAACACGCAGGCGGCGCCGGTGGGAGGGGGAGAGGAAGGGGTGTTGGCCTGGCGGCCTCCTTCTCTCCTGAGCTCTGGGGTCTCATATTCTCACCCTTCTCCCCGCCCCCAACAGGCCGGTCTCGGAGCTGCAGCCATCTCTCTGGGAACGCATCCGAAGATACAGAAACACTGATTCGAAAGAACATGTGCACCCCCATGTTCAGAGCAGCGTTATCTACCGTGGCCAGGATCCGGAAGCAGCCCGGTGCCCGTCCGTAGACAAGCGGATAGAATGCTGTGTGTGGCTCCTTTACAAGGTGGGTCACCACGCAGTCGTGAAGAGGAAGGATCTGTCACCCTGTCGACAGCAGGCAGGGGCCTGGAAAGCATCACGCCCCTGAGGGGCGCTGAGCCAGACAGAGCAAGGCAGACAGGTCCCTTGGGGTCTCACTCACGCGTGGAAGCTAATGAACACACTGAGCTACCAAGCAAAGCAGAGACAGACCCGTGGACAGAGCGCAGGCTGACAGATCTGGGGTGGGGGATGTTTGGGGGGTGAAGGGACAGAGCAAAACAGAAAAAGAGGGAGAACTCACGGATCTGGGCAACAGCGTATAGGGTATCGGGGGAATAAATGGTGATGAAAAAACAAAATTAGCCCGGCCGGTGTGGCTCAGTGGTGGAGCATTGACCCTGCACCTAGAAGTCACCAGTTCGATTCCCGGTCAGGACACACGCCCAGGTTGTGGGCCCATCCCCAGTGGGGGGCGTGCAGGAGGCGGCCAATCGATGTTCTCTCTCATCGATGTTTCTCTCTCTCTCTCTCTCTCTCCCTTCCTCTCTAAAAGCAATAAAACTTTTTTTTTAAGAAAACAAAATTAAGTAAGTAACACATGAACAGAATCCTCCGTGACTGCCCGTAGCAGGTGGAAGACCCGGGGTGCTGGGCTGCACCCCGCCTGCCATTCACCAGGGTCCCTGGAGTCTAGAGTGACAGCTCCAGGGACTGCGCACATTTCACAGCCCATGGCCACCCCGCCCTCCTCCGCTCCTGCCTCAGCTCTGCCGCCCCCCCTCCCCCTCGGCATCCCCGCACACAGGCCTGCCGTCCTGGTCTCTCACAAGCTCCGGGTGCGTGTGGGCCCGGTGGCGCCCCCTCCCGGCCACAGAAGTCCTCACCCTTCGGCACCCCCCTCCGTCACAGGGAGCCCCACTCTGGTTTCGTTTTCTGTCAAAGACCCACAGTCCCCACTGCACCACGGCGTTGTCTGCCGCAGACCCGCCCGTGCCCTGGCTCCACCCTCCTCTCCGCGCAGAAACTGAGTCCCAAGCTGGCCTGGCATGGGGCAGCCTTGGAGAACACACCTCAACGACAGAGACCCGGGTCTCGGTGGCGGGGAACTCGGCACGTTAGAGATGCCCCAGTGATGGTTTGCTGAATGTCGGAACGGTTCTGTCTGACCTGCACTCGCAATTACGCCGATTTGACTCCAAATGGCCACTTTTGTCGGTGTGAGCAGATCAGACCCAGGTGACGGGGAGGAGGGGACCCGGGTTGGGAGTAGTGGCAGACACAGAAGCACCCAGAGAAATCCGGCAACGTCTCCCCTCCTGTCCTGTTCTCCCTTCTGCTGGATTCCTAGTGTAAGAGACCCACATTCCAGACACCCAAGCCTATGACTTAGAGTAACAACATAAGTAATATTGTCTAAAAGTCCAACCTGAAACACGACCCTCCTTCAGTAACTGAATATGAAAGCTGTTTCCCAGGGCAGCCCAGCCCAGGACATCAAAGCAAAAGCCCTACTTCTGATGTTTTCAACTTCATTGGGCTGAACAATAGCCAAGAACGGCCAGGAAATCACTCCGGAGGAAATGACAATTTTGAACTTTTTCACACGTCAGAAACACGGCAATGGTCCATCCGAACTTTTCTTAGCCGTCTCTGATTCTGATAGTTTAAGAACCAATAAAGTCTGATTGCTGAGTGTTTCTCTGGCTTAACTAGGACGTGACGAAGAGCGCGGCCGTGCTGCCGGACCCACAGAGGCCAGGGAGGGACCCCACACCGAGTCCCGGGGGACACACCTCACGTGGCTGAGGGGACACCTGCCCGCGAGAAGACCGTGTGATGATGAAGCCTGTGGCCCGGAGGTGTGGATGGAGCCACGGGAGAGTGGGGGGCGGGGGCTGAGACGGAGGCGTGGCCGACTGTGTTAGTGTGTGTCTGTGTCCTTCTGAGAGGACAAGAACAGGGTGACCCCACCTCGAATCAGCAGAGTATCCCCCAACACAGTTCCAGTCGTACAGGTCTCTAGCCAGCTAGGGAGGGTTACATCGCGCCGCAAGCTCAGCGTAAGCGGTGGATCTGACGCTTCCTCGACGCCTCACCTTGGTAGGCCAGCTTGAACCCCTGGCGGTTTTGGGAATGGTCGCTGTAGAAGTGGACGAGCGTGTGGTGGGTGGTGCTCAGCAGCGCGGCGGGCAGGTCGGGGCCGCTGAACTGCCCGATCAGCGGGCTGGTGCGGTGCGGCCCGTTCTGTATCTCCAGGAAGTCGTGATTGGCCTCGGTGGAGAAGTTCAGGAACCGGATGTGCGCACCTGCGAGAAACGCGGGACGAATGGAAGTCGCCGTCAAAGTTCATACCGTCAGTGCTTATCAAAAGCAGTTGCGATTTTATTAATGTCCCCAAACACTCTCTCCAGGGGGCAGAGCAGGGTCGAGGAGGAGGTCACTGGGTTTTTTTGGGTTACAACAGACCTGGGTTCAATTCCCTCTACGCCACCTAGAACCCGGGGACCTCTGAGGTCCCCGATCAGCCTATTGGCCAGCCCGGACAGCGCAGCCCCGCGTCACAGTCGGAGGCCTGCTGCTGCTCAGAAGCCGCTGGTTGTCACGCACACGGTGGTGACCGTGCAGCTGCAGTCCTGAAGACGCCACTGTGGACCCAGGTGGGGACCGACGGCCACACGTCCAAAAGGCACGTCAGAGCCTCATCCAGGGAGAAGCCGACAGGGGTCTAAACACACGTGCAACAACCTCCCAAGTGGCTGTGAAACGGCCCGACCCCCGCACAGTTCCGTTCGTCACATGTGACCCTCTCGCGGGCGTGAGTCAGCGACTCGCCCGCCCGCCTGCCCAGCGCTCACAGGGCCGTCTGAGCCAGGTGACAGTGTCGTGGGGTCCCAGGGGTCAGCACACAGGGCTACAGCTGACCATCTGGATGTGGAGCCAAATCAGAACCGTGGGGCTGTGGCATTTTTGAACATTTATTTGATGACTGTGTCTGAAATACCTGAATTGCTTAAATAGTTTAGATAGAACTCCAAAGGCGCTCACTTCTGCATAAACCCAGGCAATTAATGTGGGTTTGTGAAGCCCAGCGTGAGGATGCAACAGGTGTTAGGGGTCATTCTGCCCACGGATAGGAGAAGCTCGTGTGCCTGTGACTGCCCCTGACAGACAGGGAGGGCTGTCGGTTTACTTTCCACCGAGGGCACCTGCTTCCCGGGGACAGGCCCCGAAGGCGATGCTGACATGTTGCGTCACTTCATTGTGAACACAGGACAGTGGAAAGCAAACGTATCTACTCAGGTATTGAGAGATACCGTGAGCACGTCCGTCAAAAAGAAAGGAAGAAACCTCATGTAGACAGCTGTAGGGAAGAAAAATCTAGATGCATTCAACAAAATGTGACGTCATCCAAGACCGACTCCCCACTCACGCAGAGTCCTGTGAGGAGCAACGAAGGTGGACGCGGCCTCGCCGGTGGGCGTCCTGTGCAGCCAACGGTCCCACTCGGGACCCAACCTACCAGCTAGCTCTCTTCTCCCCGCTCCCCAGGACCTGACGGGGGGCACGCTGAGGCTCCAAGGCCCGCGATGCCCACTGCGGGGCCGACAGTGCCGTGCCCCCCCGTGATGGCACAGCCCTGCCTCTCCTGGCGCACACGCACCGAGCTGGGCCAGAGCAAGGCTCCCTGATGGCAACAGTGTCCAGTCCTTCCTGGGGACCCCTGCTCTGTCTCGAAGTGGAACGTGGCAAACCTCGGGAGGAGCGGAGAGCGGAGGGCAGAAGGGAAGCCTGGCAGGGAGGCAGGACCTTGAGCTCAGCCAGAATTTCACACCGTGTTCGAAGGCGGGACTCGGCGCCGATGCTGGCGCGGCCTGCACAGCGGTGGGCAGTGCCAGGATGGGCCCCGCGTAACCCAAGGCGCCCTGCACACCCAGGGGCACAGCTCTGCAAACACAGCTTCCGCACCGCGCCCTGCTCTGTGTGGCTCAGTGCCTGAGCGGGTCCGGTGCACCAGGAGTTTGCTGTTTTGATTCCCAGTCGGGGCAACACCTGGGCTGCAGGCTCAAACCCCAGTGGGGGACACGCAGGACGCAGCCGATGGATGTTTCTCTCTCAGATAGATGTTCTATTTCTGCCTCCCTTCCTCTCTCTAAAAAAATCAATGAAAACATATTTAAAAAACAAAATAAAACAAAACAAAAAACAAAGAGAGAGAACTTCAGCCCTGGGTTAAAACAAAACAAAAGAAAACAAAAACTTCTGCAACTATTTTAAAATCTCAAATATTTTGTTTTGGAAGAGCCAACATGAGCTGTTAATTTTCTTCTAAATTCCAGCAAATATGTTTGGACAAGAGACATTTGGAAGAAGGAAAAAAAGAAAGAGACCGAGAGGTTGCGGGGGGAGGGGAAGGAAGGACAGGCGTCCCTCTCGGTCCCTCCGTTCAGACCTGTCCCCACGCTGCTGGGGCGGGTGGGCTACTCCACGCAGGAAACTACCCACCAGATCTGATCTAGTTTCTTACCTGGTGCTGAATTAAAAACAGTTTTCTTTGTAGCAAATTCCACAGATCTGATAAAACAGCTGTGTTATTAACAAACTGACTAACATGTTGTGTGTGTGTGTGTGTGTGTGTGTGTGTGTGACCATCGAGGCCACCAACCCCTGGTCTCCAGCTTCCTAAGTGTCCATCACTTTGTCACCCTGAGCTGGGACATAGGCAGGGACGCAAGGACGACCCAAAGCAGCTCCTGAGCTGCTGGCCCCTGTGTCCTGGACACGCGGACCGACCGGGGAGGCTCAGAGAGCAGGGTGGGGTCCGACAGGCCCCTCCTCACTGCGGGGTGACGGCTGGCCTGCAGGTCCTACGCGCTGCCCGGAGGACATTTTGAAATTCACAGAATGACAGAGTCAGGACAGAAATGACAGACGGCCAGCAGTCAAGGGCTCGGGTCATAAAGCTGGCCTGTGTCTCAGCAGCGGGGGAAGTGAGTGGTTTTCTCCCGATTCGGACTTCAACCTGACCCAGGAAGGGGACGTGCCAGCGGACACAGTAGCCTTCTGAGCGGATGACAGGCCCACTGCCCATCCAGCCGCCTGCACACACCAGGAGACCCAGCAGAGCCAGCTGTGGTCTGGTTTCAGTGCGCTGACTCCACTGTCCCATTTCCAGCAAGCTGTGTCCAGTCTGACCTCCCAAGGTCAACATGAAGGGATTAAAACAAGCATAGCCCAGTTTCCCTTTCCTGACCTCAGGGGACACTGGGAGGATGTGTTTCTGCACCCAGAACGCCCGTCTGCGTGCCTGTCTCGGGGGAGATCACAGGGCCCACGGCCCCCCTCCTCCTGACGCATGGAAAGGTCAGTGCCCCTCACAGGAGTTTGACCTTGGACCTTGACACGTCTTTGAGTCGTCATGTGACCATGACTTTGCAGTTAAGTCTGCCTTTTGAGGTTCAGGGAACTTGTGAACACTCCTGCTCCATTTACATCTTCTGTGTGCAAAGAAACCACAGCAAACGAGGGAACCCTCTAAGAACTCGGGGAATACTCTGAAGGGCTGGCGTACCCTCCCCCCGGCTCCATGGCCCGAGGGAAGATCCCACTGGACAGCAAGGAGGGAAAGGTGGTGCCCTGGTTTGTAACATTAAAGGTCACAGTTAAGCCCTGGCCGGTTCGGTTCAGCGGTTAGAGCAACGGCCCGCAGACCAATGAGTCACGGGTTCGGTTCCCGCTAAGGGCAGGTACCTCGGTTGCAGTTCATCCACGGCCCTGGTTGGGTGTGTGGGTGGCAGCCAGTCGATGTGTCTCTCACGTCGATGTTTCTCTCTCTCCCTCCGTCCCAGTCCCACTCTATCTGATGATAGATGTAAAAATATCCTCGGGTGAGGATTGAAAAAAAAAGGTAGCAATTAAGTAGAAAAATATAGGCTGCATTTCCATGAACTCTGCCTTTAGGAAATTTCCAGAAAACAGAGACACATTCCCAGCCCACTGGGCTCAAACCAAAGCAGCAGAGACAGGCAGCACCTGTGTAAGGATGAAGACACCCCAAACCGGGAGGGCGGTGCAGTGAGCTCCTCCCCGTCAGTCATGCCGCCTGCGCCTCGGGGCTCGTACCCTGAGGGCCACACGCTGCCCAGGAAATGACAACAGTCAGAGCGGAGACCCCGAGACACCTGGGCCCGGGCAGCCCTGGCTGGGGGTGGGCACAGGGGCCTGCGGGGGGCTGGACAGAGCGGCGGGGTCAGGAGAAGAGCTGAGGACCGAGTGAGGTGCTGGGCTGAGGGCTGAGGGGGTGCTGGGCTGAGGTGCTGGGCTGAGGGGGATACTAGGATGAGGGGGTGCTGGGCTGAGGGGATGCTGGGCTGAGGGGGTGCTGGGCTGAGGTGCTGGGCTGAGGGGGTGCTGGGCTGAGGGGGTGCTGGGCTGAGGGGTGCTGGGCTGAGGGGGTGCTGAGTTGAGAGGGTTCTGAGCTGAGGGGGGTGCTGGGCTGAGGGGGTGCTGGGCTGAGGTGCTGGGCTGAGGGGGGTGCTGTGCTGAGGTGCTGGGCTGAGGGGGTGCTGGGCAGAGCGTTTCATGTGCTCACTGTTGTCCCCCGGCTCCCTGACTCTCCCGGGGGAGTGGGCTCCGTCCCCCTGCCCAGCACCTGTCCTTTCTTCCGGCGGCTCCGCCCGAGCTTTGTCCAGGTCACTTCCGTGACGGACAGCGGAGGGGCCCCCCCACCGGACACTCGGGAAGGCGGAGCTGTCACTCACCGTAGCCCACGGGCAAGGCGATCTCCCAGGTGCAGTCCAGGTTGTTGGGGTACGCGCCGGGGAACCCCGGGCTCAAGATGACGCCCCCCAGGCTGCGCAGGGTCCCTCCGCACATCGCTGGAGAATGGACAACCGTTCTGATGTCAGTTTTCTTCCTTAGGACTAACTTTAAAAACATAGGCCTCGAATTTTCAAGACCGAGTACAGTGTTTCTGTCTGTATTTCCAGTCCTACCCCCCCCCCCCCCCAATTCATCTGAAGCAGCGACGGAAATGTTTCCGCCTCCACCGGTCCCGAGAGGGCTGCAGGCCTTGCTGAGCTTCCCCGACAACCCGCCTCTCCCGTGAGGGGCGAAGGGCCGGTGACGGGGACATTCTGTGTCCTGCAAATCTGTCAACATGCGAGGCTCATCACACAGAAGATAAAAATTGATTCTATTTGGCTGGTGCAGGCTAACTGGTCACATAAAACCTTTCCTTGAGTGTTCAGGGTGCCGCCGTGAGCCAGTGTCTGACTGGACGCCCTTTGGGGGTGAATTTCATTTCAAGGTGTGAAATACTAAATTCCCAAATTTACGAGAAAGCTCTCGGTTGAAGAGGAACAAAGGAGAGCGGTGGAGGGAGTGGGGTCCCAGAGGGGGTCCCCTGTTCTCCTGCTGGCTGAGCCTGGACTTACATCTCCACACACACAACTGTACCTGTGTGGGTGACACGGGCAGTCTAGACATTTGCTTTTTGCTAGAAGTCACTTTCACACACAGAACCCCCGGTCACCGAGGAGCGCTGTCCTGTAAGGGGTGACACCGCGGACAGCACCCGCCATGCGGTGCCCCTGGACCAGCCTCTCCTGAGGGGGGTCTGGCTGCTGAGATGCTCTGGCTTCGTTTTATTTTCTCAGGCACAGCTCCGTCGGTCTGCGGCCACGGGAGCGGCCACGGGAGCGGCCACGGGAGTGCTAACCACCACAGCTCCCCCAGCGCCGGGGTGTGGGCAGAGCGGAAGCCAGGCCGTCTGAAGAGGGTGTGCCACAGCCTTCTCCTGGCTCTACCTGGGGGCACCTGCCCACACCCTGAGCTGCCAGGGCCTCCGCAGAGGTCATCCACCGCACCACGTGGCTCGGGGACACTTCTAAGGAGGCGTGTGGCCTTCACAATTGCCCACATTTGTTCGTGAGAGCGGGCCACGTTCTCTGGAAGCCCCACAGCTGGAGGGGGCCCGACGGGCGGTTGGTCCGCAGACCAGTGGCTTCCGAGTGCGCCCCCTGGCGGTGCTGAGCCTGAGGCAGGAGAGGGACTGCGAGGGGTGACCGGGTGACTGGTCCACCATCCGTGCTCTCGGGGAGCCGGTCATTACTGGGGTTCATGGCTAAACCCTCCTGAGGGCCCACTGTGTGCTCCCAGTGTGGCAGCGAGTGTCGGTGTCTCTGCACGGAGATCCCGGGGACTGCGGGGAGGTCATGACCTCCCACGAAATGACGTCATTTCGTGGCAGCTCCACGTGAGAGGGTCTGGGTGGACACGTGGCAGAAGGAACTCCCTTGGGTGCTGTTATCCCACCTGAAGGAAGGACCTCAGCAGAGGGGTTCGCTGCAGCCAGGACGGGAAGAGGGTGCTCACCTATCGATCAGTGGGCACCATGTTGGCAAAATCAAAGTCATGCAAAACACCCAAAGGTGAACTTCGCGGAGGCTTTTCAAAGGGACAGGACAGTCATTACTGATCCTTCCTCTCGTGTCCTCCTAGAGGGGGTGCTGCGGGCAGAGGGGTGTGAGGGCCCCGTCACGAGGCCCAGAGGAGCCCTCCCCGAAGCTGGGTGCTGCGTCTTTTGGACTGACAGCAGCCCAGGGAGGCCCATGGCGGCCCGGACAGGACGGCGCACCCAGCAGACAGAGGCGTGCCTACCGATGCAGAGGGGCGGTGGGTAGCTCCAGCGCCGCACGGTCCCGGGCATGCAGGAGATGTGGGAGCGGCCCTGTGGAGAGAGACGGGAGCTCACACAGCGGAAGGCACAGTCTGGCCCCGTGTGCGCGGCGACCCCTGTGACTGGTCTCATGGTCCTTTCTGCGTTCCCTTGCGGGTGCGAGGACTTCTCCAAATGTGAGCTGTATTTAGGGCGCTGTTCATAGTCAGGCACGGGGTTTGAATCAAACTAGATTAATCTGACTGTGTTTTTCCTCATTAAAAAAAACTTTGCGTTGGCTCTGCCAGTGTGGCTCAATGGACTGAGCATCGTCCCGTGGACGGAGAGGTCCTGGTTCGATTCCTGGTCAGGGCACATGCCTGGGTTTCTGGCTCGATGCCCAGTAGGGGGCATGCAGGAGGCGGCCGATGGATGTTTCTCTCTCACATGGATGTTTCTACCTCTCTCTCTGAAAAATTAATAAAAACATATTTTAAAAAAAAACAAAGACGTTGCATTGGCCCTTCCAACTGTCTGTATTTCTGCCAGGCTCCTTTCTGTTTTTCATTTACTTTTATTAAAATATGTTGCGGGTACTTCCCCTGACCTTTGCCCCCTCCCCCTCGTCTGTCCCCCCTCCCTTGACCGTCACCGAACTCCTGTCCGAGAGGAACTGGACTGAGGAAAGGACACTTCCATTTGCTTTTCCAGCATCAGAAATTACAGCTTCTGGTCTAAGCGGTTGGAAATGATGAGGGCCACCTGGGCACTGCGTTGAGGCGTGAGATGTCCGCAGCGTGGTGTCTGCCCCTAAAAAGGTGCGTGTCCGTCTTTCTGTGGTTCAGGTGCAAGTCCCACCACCACTGTGGTTCAGCTAAACGGGCAGGTCCTCCTTCATCCAGGACAATATTCACTTCATCACCAGACAACCACGCGAGCTGTGCAGGCGATGAAGTCAGTCCTCCTCCCTGGACATCTTTATCCTTTAACTATAAGACATTCCAACTTCCCACCTCCCCAGATGGTCCATTATTCCCCCTGCTCATCGAGGAGCAGAGGGTCGAATCCCGAGACTCTGTGCTGAAATCTCTCCCTGTGGAGGAGGAGCCAGGGAACAGCCCCTCTGGGTGCAGACGATCAATTCCTAGTTTTTCCCTCTTTGTGACGCGGTGGGCTCATCTGCTGTGGGCACTCATCTTGCGAGTTTCCGTTTGCTGCCCAGGCCTGGCACAGAGGCCATTGAAAACCATCTGAAGTTCACGTTAGATAATCCAGCTGCCTCCCGGAGCACGTCAGGGACGGGCCGTCACGTGGAAACCGTCCCCAAGCCCAGGAGCATTGCAGACCCTGCCCCTGCCTCCGAGCTCACGCCCTCGAACACCTGGGGCGCCAGGCTCCCACGGGAAAGGAGGGCACCTTTGTTCATGAGGAAGGTGTTCTGGGCATCGCCTTTCCTGCCGAGGGCCACACGCTGCCGACACCTTCTCTGATCCACGGCACTGTCTCTCATAACGTTTCTTCTGAGTGATGGGTGCACGGAAATGCAGAGCCTTCGAAGGTACACGCTGATGCCGGACAATCCAACGGTCATCGACTACCAGCCTGGCTCCTGCTCTGACTTCCGTGCAGACACTTCCCACGAGCGGTTCCCGCGGGAATCTGGTCATAAAGCCAACGCAAGGCAGGGCCCTGGGCGTCTGCCACCGACTCAGAAGGAAGTGTCTCTTTTCCTAGGCTCAAGGAGCCGTGAAGCGGATGCAGAGAAGGTGGACATCACAAGCCTTTGAATGTACAGGGCTCACTCTCTGGTGTCTGGTCACGGCGCCGTCACGCCATGTCCAGGGTGTCGCTGGGACTCACGTTCCCCCATGTGTGTGCATACACTGCACAAGGAACTCTGCTTTCACGACATGTGTGCCGTTCGTGCATGCTACCACGCCAGATGCATCACGTGTTAGCAAAACTGTCGATGTCGGCAATGAAAATATCTTCGAATCCCGTGTTCACTCATGCGACTAACAGGGAGCCTGGCCCGGGCTGCGACCAGGTTCCGATGCTCACTCCCGGCGACAACCACAGGACACAACTCAGAGACTCCCCGGACATGATCTCACCCCCGGGCCTGATAAACCCCAGCGAAGGGGTGCTATCGCCTGCGTTCACTGAAGTTTGGAAACATACGTCGGTTTCCACCTCTCTCCCCGGATTTGAAATACGCGTGTTCGGATGATCAACGCCTGTGCTGGCGGTAGACTTATGTAAGAACTACGCTCAGTGACAGAGAATTGGCAGCTAATTCTTGTTTTCACCAGAAAATCAAAAAAAGCAAAAACAGAAAAATGACTGATGTTGCTACACATCAGTTTGTAAACAATGTATCAAAAGGTTTACATAAAAACGTTACATAAAAATGATAAGATGATGCACACGTCTGCCTAGTACCTCCTGACGATGCTCAAGCGGTATTGAGCGGCCTCTCCGGCGGCACAGGCAAGGTGCCCAAGGGCCAGACTGAACCCAGGGGGCAGCGTGCAACGTGGGACAAACCTGCAGGACCCAGAGCAGGGCAGTGACTGGGCGGCCGGGACGGGACTTGCAGGGACAATACTTCGTCCCTTAGAATCTCATCTGCAGAGCTACTGGGGGAACATCTGAAATGAGGTGATTTTGAAGATGACGTGCTCAACTTCGAAGGAGCTCTTTGCCACTTAGAAGCTATTTGCACCTTGTAAGTGGATGACCGACATGCCTGATGCGTATGACGTCCTTGGTTTACCGGCCGAGGGGGAGCGGCCGAGGGGGCTCCGGCCGGGGCGGGAGGGTGAGGACCGCTGTGCACACACCCCTCCCCCACCTACCTGCAGCGTGTACCCGGGCTCGCACTGGAAGGCCAGGACGTCGTTCACCATGTACCGGTCGCCCATCCTCAGCCCGTTGCTGGGCACCGCGGGCTCCTGGCACGCGGCGAGGCCCACGGCTGTGGAAACACAGACACACTCGGGGTTACGCAGTGTGAACCGCACTCCTGTTCCGACTCATCCCGTGACCTTTCTGCTGCCCTCCTGCTGCAGACGGCAGAGGCTTCGACGCTCGTCCGCCAGCCCGCGAGCCCGCCAGGGCACCGGGGGACCGGGCATCCCTGTGAGCTCATGCTTACGTGGTGATTTGTTTCATGTGAACATCGATGTATTTCGTTTACACAGGAATTGATTTTGTTCTTGATCTCTTTCAATAAATTTGCTTCCACTCTCCACAGAAAACACTTCAATTCTAACACACACACGATTGAAAAAGTCCTTAAGGAATTATGTTCCCTTTTGGAGAGAAAGCCCCATGATATTCCTCTCGTGTATTGTTTTCCAAACACGTTTAACAGTCTTTACGACACATGTTAAGTGTGAATCCGGGAACCGTGGTCTCTCAGTTAAACTAACATGAGAACAAATAGTCCACATGCAGGCTCATCCTCTCTCAGTTAAAGACACCCCGACACCACCGCCGTAAGTCTGCTCTTGGGAAACAGGCCGCGTGCCCAGGCCCCACAGCTGCAATCAGACACTTTCCTAGACAGAATGGCTCTTGGCTTCGGCACTGACACTATTTCAAATGTATCACAGACAACTGCAATTCAGCCTCGAATATCCGATAGATTAGCTCTAGGTGCCATTGGACATTCACCTCGATAAACCCTGACGACACCAACAAGCAGAACGCACAGCAGGGGTATTTCATGGGGTCGAAAATGCATTTGGAACGGCACGCAGACCGGAGCCGGGAAATACCCTCTCCCCTCACTTAGGACGTGTGCCCTCGCACGCGGGTTGTCCTGGTGGGAAACGGGGCTTCTTGGGTATAATCCAGCATCAAACCCCCCAGGTCAGCGGTTCTCGACCTTCCTGATGCCGCAACCCTTTAATACAGTTCCTCACGTTGTGGGGACCCCCAACCATAAAATTATTTTCGTTGCTACTTTATAACTGTTACGTTTTAGGCAACCCCTGTGAAAGGGTCGTTCGACCCCCAAAGGGGTCGCAACCCCCAGGTTGAGAACCCCTGCTCCAGGTGGCCTCGTTCTTGTCATCGGCACTGACACGCGTGGCCTGGTGGGCGTCCGGCAGAGCCGGAGGGGAGGTGGGTGAGACGTAGTTCTTGGGAAAGCGGAAAGAACAGGAAGGGAAGGACAGGTCCCCAGCAGGCCCCCCGCTGGGAGACTGTGGGTCCCACGCAAAGTGAGGCCCTTGCTGTCGCCCCGCCCAGGCCTGGCCTGCAGGGGTGCGGCAGGGGCATCTCTGCTCACCTTCTCCTCCACCGTCTCATCAGACGTCACTTAAAACACAAAGTCAAAGACCTGGTTATTCTTCTTTTTATTAATATATTCATTTTAGTCACAGATGTTTCTCCTTGTTTCCCCATTGACACCCTCCCCCCCTTCACTGCGCTGTTGTCCGTGTCCACGGGGTTCACGGTTTATCTCCCCCCCACCTCCCCACCCCTACCTCTTAGGATGGTTAGTCTGATCTTACTTCCTGGGTCTATCTTGCTCATCAGCTTATTTTACTCATTAGAGTCCACAAATAAGTGGGGTCACGTGGTCCTTTTCTTTCCCTGACTGGCTTATTTCCTTTGACTTCTTTTCACTCACACCATCCTCTCCAGGTCCGTCCGCGTCGTCTCGAAGGGAAGAGACCCTCCCCGCAGCGGCATCCGCTCCGTGGCGTACACGCACCACAGCTCCCCCTCGACGCCCTGATTACTGACAGCGTCCAGAGCAGAGTCAGCGAGCCCAGCGCCTCCGAGGGCCCAGCGTCCGCGCGAAGGGGCCCTGGTCCCGGCTGCAGAGTCTGCACAGGCAGCCCCCGCAGATCCCAGACGGTGAGCCCAGGACGCAGTCGCCGCGGAGGCGCCTCATGTGGACTCTGGCACCTGCTGCGAAGGGAAAGGCGGAGGAAGTCCAGGCTGCCCGTCAAGGTGCCCAGCGGCAGCCTGCAGACCGTCTGTCCGCTGGGTAAGGGGACACGCAATGTCCTCTACTTGCCAGGCTGTCAAAGCAAAGTGTGGAGCCTGCCGGGGACGTCCTCCCCGGACTGCTGGGTCACAGTCTGGGCAGCGACCTCGTCCCTGGAGATTCTTACTCGTTGAAGTCTGAGATCCCGCATGTGGCCTCACTCGCCCGAGTCCTGACTGTGGGGGCTCCCCGGGGACCCCGTGACTCTGCACCCGGTCTTCTGAGCGGAAATGAATTTCTCCCGGAAAGGTGCACGTGGGCAGGTAGAAACGCCATGTGCATCGCGTGGCGATGTTTTTTTTTTTTAATTTACTTATTTTTTATCCTCACCCGAGGACATTTTTCCATTTTTTTGTTCAGGTAGAGTGGGAGGGAGAGAGAGGAACAGAGAGAGAGAGAAACATTGACGTGAAAGGGACACATCGAGTGGCTGCCACCCGCACGACTGACCAGAGCCGGGGACAAACTGCAACCGAGGTACATGCCCTTAGTGGGAACTGAACCCGGGTCTCTCTGGACCGCAGGCCGACGCTCTAACCGCTGAGCCAAACCGGTCAGGGCGTGATGTTTTCTTATTCCTGGCACCTTTGGGGCTTTTCCGAGGCTGTGAAATTGCAAAGTGTGAGAAAACACAGCGGGACTCTGACCTGTTTCGGTGGCACGCGCCTGACTTCTCTCCGCGTAGCCCCTTGAGTCTGGAATACAGACTGAAGCTATGCTTACCTTTCACCGCTTTTTAAAATATCAAACATAGGTAAGATCAGCTACCATATATCACTATTTTTTTATTTGACCCTGAAAAATTTCTCTCATTATAAAATTTCTCAGTGGGATTTGGAGTAGTGAGAAGCTAGTCATGGCAACGATACATCATCCTTTGGGGGTTACTCAAGTTCACAGCAGGTAGGACAGAGACCAGAGCACATCAACAACCCGACAGGCACCCAATGCACAGAAAAATCTATGTTTAAATTAAAATAAAAGGACTGGACAAGTAATGCAACATTAAACTCAGTTACTAAGTCCCGTTTTCTTTACGGATGATGGGTGTTTACTTATTTCCTCTCAATGTTGATTCTATGTCGATGTAAATGATTTGTTGTCTATTAGTCTATTTTCATTTTCTCCTTACTTGAAATTTGCGTGTAAATCCGATTCCTTCTGTGAAGCAAGTAAGTTGCATATATATCTGCGGGAATTGTAATAACGTTTCTGCATACGTGGAAAGTACGGAAGTTGCTCCACCCAGTGCAGGCGACGGAGGCGCAGGAGGGGGTCCTCTGCGGGTCTGGGCATTTGAAATGCAGGCGAAATCCTCCTTCTTCCGTCCTACTCCGGATCGCCGTGCGTTCAGGCAGTTAGAAGCTAAGGACCTTAAGCTAGCTGATATTTTAGCGACATCTCCTAGCAACACACTGAAACTAAACCAAGCGAACGTGTGCACCTGGAAGTTAACCCGCGGAGCAGACAGATTCACGTGATCTGCACACGTCTGTCAGCTGTTGAGCTACGCCGGGCGGAGCCCAAGTGTTTCCCTGACACTGACTGTGTCCCCGGAAGATGCGAGCCTACAGCCCCGGGACTGAGTGGAGCCGGGGGACCGAGTGGGCTTATGTCGTGAGTGGGGTTACTTCAGGGTCTGGAAACCAGGCGCCGGACACAGGGCACAGGCCACACGCTGGGCTGAGGCTCACACCCAGCATCGGGGTGCCCTCGCGGGTGCTCTGAGGGAACCGGGGAGGGGACCCTTGTAGAGAAACATCTGCCTGGGGCATTACGACCCCAAACACACAGTTGGGCAAGGAGGCCAGGCAGCGACCCTGGGAAGCAGAGCCCCGAGCCTCAGACCCTGACAGAGCAACTCCCTGGCTCGGCGCAGAGATCTCGGAAGGGCGCCCGGGGGGAGGTCAGGCGGCTTGTGATCCTCCTTCCGGCCGGGGTGGGCCAGGAGCCTGAGCCGAGCGGGAGGGTGGTGACCGAGACGTGGACTGGAGGGAAGGCCGGCTCCGTCCACAGCTGTGTCCAGTGTCCTTTATTTTTTTTTATTTTTTTATTTTTTATCCTCACCCGAGGATATTTTTCCATTTTTTGTACAGATAGAGTGGGAGGGAGAGAGAGGAACAGAGAGAGAGAGAAACATCGATGTGAAAGGGACACATCGAGTGGCTGCCACCCGCACGACCAACCAGGGCCGGGGACAAACTGCAACCGAAGTACGTGCCCTTAGCGGGAACCGAACCCGGGTCTCTCCGGACTGCAGGCCGACGCTCTAACCGCTGAGCCAAACTGGCCAGGGCTCCAGTGTCCTTTAAGCAGCGGACAGAGAATGACCTTTGATGGACCTCATTCTGGGCTGGGTTTGAGAAGAACGATGTTTCCAGTGAGGGAAACTGACCATTCGGTCATGGGTGGCAGTATCACTGACGCCACCACGTCGTAAAACCATCAATTAAAAGGTATTTATTTAGACCCAAAAACAGGCGCGTGGGCAGAGATATACTTGTAGACGAACTTCCTGGAGACTTCCTGACACAAGGTGTGTGACACACGGTTTGGTCAGGAAATTCCAAACCGGTTTTCAGAAGGAGAGACATCTAGAAGGTGACTGTCATGCTGTAAGCACATTTTGATAGAGATCTAGTTCTTTCTGAGCATAGATGACTATGGTCTAGATCATAAAAGATAAGATAGTAAATGCTATAAAGAAATGTTTCTTTTTTTTTTTTTATCCTCACCCAAGGACATTTTTTTCATTTATCCTCAGATAGAGTGAGAGGGAGAGAGGGAGGAAGAGAGAGAGAGAAACATTAACGTGAGAGAGACACATCGAGTGGCCGCCACCCACACCACCCCAACGGGGCCGGGGACAAACTGCAACCGAGGTACGTGCCCTTAGCGGGAACCGAACCCGGCTCTCTCTGGTCCGTGGCCGACGCTCTAACTGCTGAGCCAAACTGGCCAGGGCAAGAACT